AGAGTTCGAAGTGCTGGACAGTGTAGAAGTGCCATGGTTGACACGCCTCTTCAATGTTGCATGGGAGGTGGGTACAGTACCTCTAGATTGGCAAACGGGTTGTGATCCACATTTTTACGAAAGGGGACTAGAGGGTGTGCTCCAACTACAGAGGGCTCGGCGTCCCAGGTAAAACCTATGACAGAGTGCTGGAGAGAAGGCTACGCTCGGTGGTCGAGCCTCAGATTCAGCAGGAACAATGCGGATTCCGTCAGGGTCGTGGAACAATGAACCAGCTCTTTGCCTCTCAGATGTTTGAGGGGTCATGGGAATATGCTTCTCCGGTCTACCTCTGCTTTGTGGAATTGGAGAAGGCATATGACCGTGTTCCCTGCAATTTCTTGTGGGAGGTGCTGCGGGAGAATGGTGTACCGGTGCTGCTTTTGCATACTATCCGGTCCCTCTTCCCGCAGCGAGAGCTGTGTGTGTGTGTATTCTTGGTGTTAAATCGAAGTAATTCATTGTGGGTGTTGGACTCTGCCAAGGGTGCATCTCGTCTCCCCTCATGTTTGTGATTTGTATGGACAGGATATCAAGGCGCAGCCGAGGTATGAGAGTATCCAGTACGGGAGCATGGAGGTGGTGTCGTTGCATTTTACAGATGACATTCTCTTTCTCTCGTCAGTCTGATCTCCAGCGTGCACTTGAACGGATTGATGCTGAGTGTGAAGCGGCTGGGATGAGGATCAGCACTTCCTAAAATTAGGTCATGGTTCACTTCTGGGAGACGGTGGATTGTGCTCTCCAGGTGAGGTGGGAATAGCTGCCCTTAGTGGAGGAGTTTTAAGTACGCCGGGGTCTCTTTCACGAGTGGTGGTATGTGGGCAGCGGGAGATCGGCCGGTGGATCGGTGCGGCGTCCGCAGTGTTGTGGGAGCTGTACTGCTCTGTGGTAGTAAAAGCAGGAGCCGAGTTCTCGAAACAGCTCTCGGTTTACCGAAAGGATGAGATCGTGATTACAAGGGGCTGAAATGAGGTTTTGCCACAAGGTTGCCGGGCTCAATCTCCCATCATCGGGTAAGGAGCTCTGTAATCCTGGAGAGCCTTGGAGTCGAGCCGCTGCAGAACTCTACTGGGCACGTCCCACTGGGCGTAGATCCTGGGGCTGGCGCAGGACACGCTGGCGGACTAGGCCTCAGCAAGGTAAAGTAATTTACCCTTTTTACCGGGTAAAAGGGTAAACGTGTCGACATGCCAAGGGTAAGGTAAAGGGTTGGGTAAAGGTAGCGCGGAAGAATTGCCCGGTAGGGTAAAGGTAGCGCAAAGTATTAACTTGGTAAATACGGTGCCTTGTTTACTGCTAAAAGCTCCGTGGCGCAGTCCGTGGCCTCCATTTAATAAGTAAAATTTTTTGAAAAACTTTTTTAAAAACACGCTTTTATGAAATGTACGAGTAATGGCAGAACTCCACGACTCGAGGAAGTGGCCCTGAAGCTCGCCACAACGTAAGGGACCGTGGGCAATTACAGCCAACGTGAGTTGACGGTGGACAATTAGACCCAAGCCGAAACAACATACAAAATGTTTAAAATTATTTTCTTTTTAATGATAGAATATAGTATTGTCATCAGTATGACATAAGTATACCAAGTTTGCAGTCGATACCACATTGGGAAGTGGGTTAAAATTGAGTTACAAGATTTGAAGATACAACGACGACAACAACGACAACAGTGAGTTTAAAGAAAGCGTGTAAAATTGGAATAATCGAAAGTATTCTATATGATAAAAGCTCTCTACCTAGCATTTACCTGTTATCAACCTTGTTCATGTGTAGTACCCCAGTAATTACCCTGTAATGGGGTGATTTGTATGGGGTAAGGGTAAAAGGTCGGGTAAAGGTAGGCTCGTTGCTTTTAACCTTTTACCTTACCTGCTGAAGGGTAAAAAGGTAGGGTAGAGTGATTGTATTGTGGTAAGGTAAAAGGTAGGGTAAAGGTAGGCTCGTTTTTACCTTACCTTGCCGAGGTCAAGGCGGGACGATGTCACTCGGCTGGCCTGGGAACACCTGGGAATTCTCCAGGGAGAGCTAGAGTCTGTGTATAGTAGTGTATAGTGTAGTGTAGTAGTGCATAGTAATGTACTTCTGGAATCTGTCACCAGGGAAAGAGAGGTCTGGACCTCCCTACTCAACATGCTGCCGCCGCCGCGACCCTCACCGGGACAAGCAGATCGAGGAACGAACGAACAATTTCACAACAAAAAACCTCTTTTACAATTGGAACATTGGTCGCAAGTCTGTTTTTAACTCTATGGGGCCTGATAAAGGCCTTTATTTTTAGCTCCTCTTGTAAAGTTGAGCGTGCAGCTAATGACAAACTGAAAAAAATTATGCTTGGCTGTTTTTGTTTGCTGTGAGGATTTGGGGGAGAATAGTGAATAGCAACATTATTGAAAGTCATGCAAAGTTGTGCTTAAACTTCAAGAATAAAAATGTTGAAAAATATTTTGTGTTCGTATTTTATCTAAGTATGGAAAAAATACGTCACGTACCAGGAGGAGCTTATGCAAGTTTGGAATTGCACTTAGGAAAAGTGTCTGGATCAGTTACCATCCTGTCACCTGACTAATTTGTTACTAGCCCTTTGTCACACCACTGCTGGATGAAGGCCTCCCCTCGCTGTTCCGTAATGGAGGTTGTTGCAACATTGTCAGCTTTACATCATTTAAGTGCAGATGTTTTCTTACAGAACTTCGGTACACTCAACACATGGTGCAGTCTTGAGCCATGGGCCTTATAAACACCTTGCACGTGGAGTACTGTAGTAATGCACAAACTGCTTAAAGTCAACACTAAATCATCTAACGGCAACAAACGTAATGTGTACAGCTTGTGTTTATTTAGAATTTCAACCGTGGTGAATAGAAACGTAAGAATACTCATTTTACCACAGGCTAATTTTGTGTTGGCCTGCCTCTTTACACGTAATCTATTCATATACATTGTCCCATTATGCATATAGTTTTGGTGATCTGCAATGCCTCACACTGTATGCTGTGTGTAACGCTGGACAGGCTACGTGGATTAAAATGGTAACTAATTGTTAGTTTGTTACAAGAATAATAAAAACCAAGTGATCCCCTGTTTTTGTATTTTATCTTTGCGTTTTGTACACCTTTACAGAATGATAATAATATCCGGTTAATGTTTGTGACAATAGTTTTCTTATTTCTTATACATCGAATAGAAATTTAAATAAGCAGAATCACTTAATTTGAACTCAATGCAATTTCACTTTGACTTTTGCTCGCACTTACAATGAAAATTAGTGAACACCGACCTGCCCTTTCGGTTTATAGTTATTTATTTTGTATTCACATCAATATAAAATCTAGCAAGTCTATACCTATTCCTAAAACGATAAAGGTGATTCACATAGAGACATTTTTGATTAAATGAATTCAATACAATCTTTACATTTTAACCTTTTTCATAATGTTTTTAATGAACCCATCATATGAGGGGCAATTACACTAGTTTCTAAATATTCATGAAATTGCTAGAAAAGGCTATCTTGGTGTGTCGCGAAGTGATGGAATTACACTTTATGAACCCGGTAACCTTAGTTCTATTCGCGGCCACGGCCGACGTGTCGGAACATATATCATTTTTGTGGCACATATCATTTAGGCCAAAAAACACGCCAATTAAATATTTTCCCATTAATATATTCAAGTTTCCCAATCGACACGTTAGGCAGGTTACATGTTACACCTACGTTGCCATATAATTATTTACCAAGTTACTTTACAACATACTCTTTGGTGTTATTCGGTAAAGTCACGTAGATAAAATAAAACAAAATAAAATAATTAAATCACGATGTTTCGGAGGAAACACAAGCTTCTTTTATTTTGTTTCATTTTACCTACGTGACTTTACCGAATAAAACCAAAGAGTGTGAATCCTTGCAGTCACGAAAGCTTCAAATCTAGAATTACTTTACAACATTCCCCAGCATTATTGCAAATACGAGGAAGAATTAGGGTTCTTAAACAACTGCTAAACCGGTAACCATTTTATAATCAACTAATGTACTCGTATTAGTAATTTTTAGCAGCAACAAAAAAATGCAGCCCTGCAATGATGTCTTGCTGACCCCACTAAAGGTGGAAGGGCCTCGCTTAAAAGGCACCCTAGTGGGTATCTTGGTCTAATCTTCCACGCACACCAAGACGTCTTGGAAGAGGTCAGTGTGCCCACACTTTATTTTATTGCACACGAATTGCCAAATCTCCTGTGGTTGCAGACTTCTGGGTGGACAGGCCAGGTCGCTGGGGATTTGAATGAACTCACACCAATGTTTCAAATGCCGCGCCGAGAGACGGGAGTCGAATCGGCGAATTCTCTGGACTGCAAGGTCCAGTGTGATAATATAACCAATACACCACGGAAACTCCATGCGTTTTTCACTCGAAATGTTACGTTTGTGGATGTGCAGGCATAAACCGGTAAAAATCCGTTTTCAATGTGGTTACCGGTGATGCAAATACATATTTAGACAACTCAAGCAGGAATTAATACAAGTCTTAATTACTTCGAACACTAATTTGTACGCGCATTATTATTGATTATTATTGAGCGGCAACAGAGTGGTGTAACACACTGCGCTTTGAACCCGGCAGACTTCGATCAGCGGCCACGGTTAAGATCCGTGGCATATATTATCAGAGCATGTTTTTTTGTTCGAATGTTCGCCACAAGTACGTGTGGTTAATGTAGACATTATTCCTTGCAAGAGGGTTTCTGTTTGGTGTTTGTTGAACGTCTCGGCACCTGTTTTAATGCCAGAAAGGGTCAAACCTAATTTTTTTCACATTCATTCATTGGCATTTTCCTCCAACGTTGGCGTAAACAGCACATTGCGTCGCAGTGTGGTAAACGTAAAATTCCGGTAAGGGTTTTTTTTTTCAAACGGTACTGGAGTGAGTGAATCCATTCCAGTGCTTTCCGCTGTTAAAGATCACTCCGTTCCATGAAATCCAGTTCAGGTTTCCTCTCCAACCCAGAACCGGGAAAACCTCAAAACATCTTCCGCTTTTTCCACGTATTCTTGAGGCGTGTTTCAATTAAATTAATTAACAAATGCGCGCACAAGACGCGTGACAGCGGTAATTGGGGCACACACAATGCATAACAGTGAGCGAGTTCGTCTTTAAAGCAGCACAGTTTACAAGTCTGAGCCACATTAGCAGCTCGTTCTCGAGGGCCTACGTCCGAACCTCGAGACCTCCGGCCTCGCTTGGATTTCCGCGGGGTCTTAAGCGCTGGAGGCCTGGCCGAGGCGACCAGGCGAGCCCGGTTGGGTGGGTTACGGGGTTTGTTGCTGGTGCCGCGTCCGCCCGATTTTGTGGCGCTGGCAACGATGAAAGCGGCGGTCCTGAGCTATGTTCTCGTGGGCGTCCAGCTGCTGCTGCTGGCGGCGATGCTGCTCACGCAGGGCTTCGCCGTGGAGACGGCGAAGCCTCCGAGCCTGGAGCCCGGGGCGGGCGCAGGAGCCGAGATCGGGGCTGAGGACGGGGGCGCCGAGAACAGCACTGATCCACCGTCGGCTTCGTCTTCATCATCACCGTCGTCGTCGTTGTTAGGTGTGAAGCGATTTAAAGTGGCCGGGTGGCCCAGAGTGCTGAGCTAGCACTCGCTGAGAACCCCGTGGTCGAATCCAGGTTTTCAGCGGCCCTTGATTAAACCGGGTTGTGCAATTAGTTGATGGTCTTAGCCTGGTCACCATTGACGGCACACTATTAAACGCGGTTCCGCACAAAATGTAGTCAAATCGCAAGTGTGGGGGATTTAATATCTCGACGTGGTTCCACGTCAATTGAAGCTTTCTCGGAGGTAGCTCTGTGGTATCCGCTTCCGTGGGCTGTTCTCTAGCACGAAGGGGTTTGCAGCTGTGCTTGATATCCGGATGGATACTTTTTACATCATAACATGACGCCGATAGCGCAATTGTGAAGGTCTGGAAAGACTGACCTCACATCCTTCCGCTCCACCCGGTGGTTTGACACAATTTGAGGCCAGAATTCGATGTTTTTTTAATGAATCGTTTGCACTGTATGATGCCTTGTTTGATTCGTAAACTTTGTTTTGTTCAGACACATCCTGTGGGTAGTCTCATTTGTATAAACTATTGTGTTGTTTGCTTTGAAGTGTCCGTACTGTTGATCCCCATTGTCTCTTATCGTTCTATCTTTAGTGTCTCCTACTGTCGTCCTCGATTATACTGTTTGTCTTGCCTGTATTCTCTCGTGTGTAGTCAGTCGAATTCCGTATAATTTGTACGCAGATCTTAGTACTTGTGTGTACTGTAAGTACTGTTTGTCCTGCACCGTCAATAATTTTCTCTCCTGTCTTGTTTGTCTATACAGTACTGTCTCTCTTTATACCGCCTTGCCTGTGCCTCGTTTTGCACAGTCTTGCTCTGTCATTAGTACTTCTCTATCTCGTGTATACCGTGTCTCGCATCTACTGCCTATCTGGTTTGTACTCCGTCTCATGTTTGTTCCAGCCGTTTGTTTCAAGTGAAAAATCGCATGAATGCAAAATGCTCAATTCGCTTGGCCCCAAATTTCAATCGTGTATCATAAGCGTGAGGATTGACCCTTAATTGATGAACACTTCTCAGATGCCTGGTCTTTATCATCCCGCTCAGTGGCGGAGGAGTCGGTAGAAGACCAGGAGGACACGATGAGAGCCGAAGTCAAAGACCACGAGATCTTCGAGGGTGGAGAGACGAGCGGCGCCCAATACGACCCCATGTCGCCGAATGTTATGTGCAGCTTCCTGTGAGCAACTCTTTCGGTTCCGCCTGGCTGTGGTTTATTGTTGTTCTCAAGTAGGGCCTCTTGTTGACGCGTCTTTTGTACCCCCAGACGGTGAGAATTCAGCTAACCGTGAGGAGGGCAAATGCTGCATGTTTGATGTGTTTCGGGCTCTCGCACGGGGGAGCAGTACAGATTCTCAGGCATTTCACGAGCGTGAGAAATCGGTGCTCTCCATACTGTGGAGCATAGCTTCTCTCCACAGCCACCCCACCCATGTGGTCTCTAACGTTCACCAGTCAACATAAACATTTGGCGCATAATATATTCCCTCCTCACAACTGCAGTAGATACATTCTCTGTTATGAATGTAGCTCATCTAGTGGCTGCTGCAGGGTAACATAAAACTATGTAATGTAGTTTTAAGTATTTGAGCGGAAGAATACATTTTAGTTGCTTAATTGATGTATCTCTCCCTGATTTATTTTCGGTTTGTACAATGTGTTATTCTGCATAATGTCCTCCATTTTGCTAAATGTATTTGGAGCTTCATGATTCAGTTCTTGAAGAAGTTCAATTTTTGAAGAAGCTCCCAGCACATTGAGAAAAACGTTGGAATATATACGGAGCAACACTGTCTACAACCCTTAAACACATCAGAAAGCTATACAGCATAACCATGAAAACATACGCATCGGTAACTGATGCATTGTTACGTGCTTGATAAGACATTCTCTTGGAGCCTTCACCAAACTGCACTGACCAGCGTGGCAACGTTTTATTAAATAACCCAGCAGTAGAATGACAAAAGGACTGTACATCATGCATGTATATGGAACTTGTTTTGCACCATTGTGCCCAGGTATCCATGTTATGCGTAACCAATGTCTCAGGTTCTTCATGCTCCCTCTCTCCCCCTTATGCCAGCTAGCCAGCAAAACTTTTAAATTATATAGTATGATAGCCAAGGTGGAGGATGGGTGGGGGGGGGACGTGTTTTCATCACACTTGCCTGCATGCCGGCCACCCCAGTCAGGAAGCCAGCTAGCAAAAGTTTATTTATTTATAATATCGTATGATATTGTTCCTGTCACATTCAGGAATACTAAGGCTTTCAGGCCAGCGCTGGCATTGTTGTATACCCAGACATGTTTTTTTGATCCAATGACAGCATGGCATGAAACATTCTTCTGTAAGTTACTGAACTTTAGATCTGTTTATTATATATTGTGCAACTTTCTTTGTGCAAACTTTGTCCCTGTTATTGCAGGCCTGATGAGTTTGTGGAATGCGAAGAGCCAGTGGACCATAACAACAATGAAACAGCCTTGCACGAACTTGGATACGGATGTTTAAAGGTGCTCATGAAGCCTATTGAAATGCAATTCCTGATACTTGATTTTTCTGCTGTAATGGAAATCTCACAAGCATAAACCTCGAACGTGCATGATCCTTGAACATTATCCTCAGTTACATTGCCCATGAATATTGGTTCAGACTTTGTTGAAAGCAGTTGGCACTGTTATTAACAAACCTTGGACATGAACAAAAGCAGCAATATATTGAAAGTGGAAAATGCCGCTAAAATTTTGCTTTTGTAAATTTCTGAACCATTCATGTTGCTTGCTACTTTGAACTGAGAACATTTTCGTAGTTTTATTTCGTTAAGGAACTTTCTACAGCTATTGAAAGTGGAAAATGCCGCTAAAATTTTGCTTTTGTAAATTTCTGAACCATTCATGTTGCTTGCTACTTTGAACTGAGAACATTTTCGTAGTTTTATTTCGTTAAGGAACTTTCTACAGCTATTGAAAGTGGAAAATGCCGCTAAAATTTTGCTTTTGTAAATTTCTGAACCATTCATGTTGCTTGCTACTTTGAACTGAGAACATTTTCGTAGTTTTATTTCGTTAAGGAACTTTCTATAGCTTTTAACAGGAATTTAAAAAAATCTGAAATGTATTTTCTGCATGCATATTTCCATACTCTTGTGGCTTTCAAATATAAAAAAAAACTATTGACTATGGAAAGGCCTTTGTCCAGCAGTAGATTGACAAAGTATTGTAAATAATTGTTTTTGTATTGGTGACTGTCCCATACCTCTCAACCCTTATTCCTGTACAGATAAATTTTGTTTTTAGGTCCATATGGCATACAACCGTTTTCAATACGGGCAAAATATATATTTTGTCTTTGTGTTTCTCCCTTGTGGTGGGACTTTGTAGGATGAACGTTGAGATTTATAAGGGTGACCAATAAGGTCTTAATTGGTCTGTAATAAGGTAGGCACTGATAAGGGGTTGACAGTCATGCTGTCCTATGTGCATTGTGTTGTACAATGCATGGACATATGTCACCTTTTCTGCAACATGATTTTATTAGAAAGTTATTGGTTGTAAACATAGCCATTGGCAGTTTTGGTGGGTTGAATAATGCGTCTTTGTGCCACTCCTCGCATCCCTCTTCACTCCCATCCTAGTTTGGGGGCCATGCTTACAAGGATGTGAATCACACTAAAGTAGTTTGCACGGCTCTCCCTAAGATTGAGTGCGTTGGCAAAAGGACTTTTCTTCGGGGACACGTGCCCTGCATCAAGTAAGTGATAAGTATCGCATCAATAATATAAACTACAAATGTGCAGTTTATTGCTTTTATGTCATCCGCATACAGGAAGTTTGCTAAAGTGTTTTACTTGTATCATAAACAAATTATGATATTCTTGAACCGCCAATAAGTCCCATTGATATCAATTGACGGTATCAATGAGTTTCAGAGAAAATTCTATACATCTATTGTACAGTTGTTAAACTAGTTTTTGACCATCAGTTCATGGCCTTCCAGGATGATATTTTTCAGCAGCATTTTTGTTAAGCAGGAAAACTAGTCTTAACAGCAGAGTGCGTTACGTTAAAACTGCTGCTGAGTTGACCGATAATATCAGAGGCAAGAGCAAGAATATTTATTTGATAAACATCTTACTATTAAGGAAAATATGTAAGTTTAAAAATATAGCCAAAGAATACAAGAGTGATATATCATTTGCAACATGGTGATGTAGAGCAGTTTCACAATGGTTTTGAATCTAACATTTTTAAAATTCAGAGTACATTCAATGCCCATTGGGAAAATGTGTGGATAAGAGCTTTTCTAGATTTAAAGCTTTCGTGACTGCAAGGATCCATACTCTTTGGTTCTATTCGGTAAAGTCACGTAGGTAAAAAATAAAACAACAAAAAATCACGACGTTTTGGCCACAACACAAGGCCGCTTGTGTTGTGGCCGAAACGTCGTGATTGAAATTTCTCCTCGTTTTGGCGTGTGTAAACATGTTTTTTGCTTTGTCTGCTGCAGGTACAATGGGCACTACTTCGTCACCACGCTGCTTTACTCGTTTTTCCTGGGCTGCTTTGGGGTGGACCGCTTCTGCCTGGGCCACACGGGCACGGCGGTTGGCAAGCTGCTGACGCTTGGCGGGCTTGGCATTTGGTGGTTTGTGGACCTGATCCTGCTCATCACAGGAGGTCTCATGCCTAGCGATGGCAGCAACTGGTGCACCTTCTATTGAGCCGTGTAGGCTGGAAGGAACTTGTGGCAGCGGACTAAGATTCTGCTAACTTTCAAATTCTGCTGCATCTGGAATGACAAACTTTCCTGCACCTCCGTTGGCTATGTGTGGTGGGACAGAAGTTCTACATACATACATATAAACTTCTAGAAAGACAAACACTTGTAGCTGGCCTGACTTCAACAAAATGACTTAACTTTGTGCAATCAGCAGATATGTTTGTTCTTTTGTTTGCATTTATTTGGCACATGGTTTACACATGCACAGGTTTGTAAAGTAAATTGTAAATGAGCCTGCTTAAGCAATGCTGTTATTTTTTTTGTAAATCATTTTTTTATTTTATAGGAAGAGAAGTCATTTTTATTGTCAAAAGGAAATGACCATTATAAATGCCTTGCTGCCATGTGGTCATGTCATAGTTTTCAAATCTTGATATATACAGTAAACATGCTCTTTTAACTCCATGGCATCATGTTCGTTAAAAGTTTTTTTTTTACTTTTGCATGCCTTTTGTTTCTCACACGATGCAGTTCCAAAAAGGGAACTGTTTAAACAAAACAATTATTGGGCCCTTTGGTCCATGGGTTAATGTATATTTATGATAATTTCCCAAGAAGTGCACACATGGTCCTAAATTTTACACGCTCAAATTTGTGACGGTTAAGTAATTTAACATTTTTGTTTGTGTTATGTCACAGGTTGTGTTCTTTTTTTAAGTTGAGTAAATAAATGTTAAAGTTTCTGGAAATACGAATTACAGCAATTTTATGGCTCTCCATTCTTTTCCTGAAATAAATCTCATTGGCTGCAGCGAGGAGATCGGTTCTCATTAGTCAGAAATATCCCCGCCATCTCTGGAGGCTTAAGTAAGCGCTTGGGCAATGGAGGGGAGGAATAAGGCTATGGGATGCACAGTTATGTATACAAAACTATTTCCACAGCGTAAATTTTATACCTGTTGGCTTTTAAGAAAATGTGTGGATAAGAGCTTTCGTTCTTTTTGTAAATATAACACTTTTTATTTGACACATGTAAAACGTGTAGGCCATTAGTGTACTTTTGCATGAACGCCTTCCGACACCATTTCTGTCTTGTGGGTTGTTTGGACAATGTTTCACCAGGATGATCAGTGTGGGTTGGTGAAGAGGTGGTAATTAACTGGTTCAGATATCAGCCGCCATTGATGCTAGCCATGGGGTGGAATCCTACTCGGGTGCCTGTTTTATATAACGGTTATGTCACTACTCCACTATGGATTAAAGGCAGAATTTAGCTCCTGTAGTGAGTACGTTTGGGATAATGTGGAAGAGTGAAGTGGTGTAGTGTAATGTGCTAACCTTGTGGCAGTATTGACAGAATGTTAATAGTGGCAGAAGAAAAAAACATCCTTACCAGCAGCCATTGCCTATCCACTGCTGGATACTTTACCTACGCCATCTCAAAGTTCTGTGGTGACACAATCTTCATTCGTGAAAAATTAAGGAACATTTTCCCTCTTAGTCATTGCTGTTTATCCTTTTTTCGGCGCGTTCTTTTCTTTGGCCGTCCTTCAACGACCAGTTTCATCCACGAGCAGAGCAAACGACCCCGCACGGCAGGTGACCACGTACAGTCAGGGGAAACCTCGCACAGCAGGCAAATGCGCACAATGGGCACCGACGCGGCATGGGCGGCTGCAAGCTGGCAGTTGTGCCAGTGAACACGTGAACCTGCCACCTGCATTCCGAAGAGCATGTGCGGCACAAATGTAGCCCCTGAATGCACTGCAGAATGTCTAATGACCCATCCCCCGCATTTTGTCCTGCAGCCCTCATATTTTGCATCATTATCACGATCATCTTTTAAAAAAACATTTTTTTGTATAAAATATGATCACCCTAGGGAGGGAGGGAGTAGTCACTGCATTGGCAGCATGCATTTTCATCATCAATTGTGAATTTGTGAGTATAAAAAAAGTAAACGGTAATCTTCCTATTATCTGTTGTTTTTTTATTGATAAAAGCTTTGAGACCGTTCATCATATCTGCATACCCCCCCCCACCCCAGTGAAATGGAAAATGATGCCGACAACGTTTTTGTATTGGCCAATATCTGAAAGTTGGTGTGGTGAAGTATGGTCAAACCCCAAGCGTAGGGAGGCTTGCACAGAGCACTCGCAACACTGCATATGTAAGGCTGTTATGTACCTATACAGACAGTACAGAACATTTTCTCAGCGAGATCCACCAACCCCATACTATGGGTCAGTGCTGGATGGACCTGCACAACCACAACATCGTGTGAGAAGCGTAGCGGCAGCTTGTGGTATTGTAGCTGTACTGCTGGATCGCCCGTGTCTGTGGGTTTGATGTTTGCTCCGGTCCAGTCTGCTTGGAAATTTACTCAGCCAGTTTTATGTCGGGGCAGGATGGAGATTTGACAATCGCCGGCTTTGCACTGACAAATGAGGCGCTGTCCACTTTGTCAGTTGTGGCGGGGCTTGGAATATGCAGGATTCACTCTCATTTAAAGACTTTGTCAATGCGAAAGCTCACTTCCACATGGAAGGTTAGTTGGGTGTCAACATTCAGCCAATAAATTGACGTACTCACAATACAATTTTGACTCGCATAGCGTCAAAATGCAATTACATTTCAAGACAATGCACAGAACAATCGGACATGGACAACCAGGGGAAATGAGTCATTTATTATGTATAGTGAAAGAAGAAAGTCAGTCATAAGCAGAGGAAATGATCAAGGGTCTTGAGCCTGGACTTCAGGAATAGCGAGTCGACGGTACGCATGGCTGGGGGAAGAGTTTCTCGCTATGGGGGCGTCAGATATATCAACAAGTACATAATATACATACGCACACAATAATACAAGCGAACACATACAGACTACTCCCACATTGTACACTTGTCCACTTTTGGTCTCAATACACAAAGACATACATTAATAAAGTATTAAAGCTTTTTGACTGCATAAAATTACTCATTAGTTTTTTCGGTAAAGTCACGTATTTAGAAATACAATAAAATTATATAAAACAAAATTATGTTTTAATATAATTTTATTGTATTTCTACATACGTGACTTTACCGAAAAAAAAACAATGAGTAAAGACATACATTGTGTACATACATTTCACAAGTTCAATATACAGTACTGTATTTCATATCGCGTACAGCTCCACGATAATTGATCGACAACTCTGATTCACATGGCTCAATCAGCACCCCAGGGTCATCCTCCCCCACCCAAGCTTCTAAAATGCTAATTTTCATGCGCGTCTTTCTCCAGAATCTGGTTGATCCTTTGGGTCCTACTACTTGCGTAGGTTTTCGCGTTCACGCGACATTGCACTCCGATGCGTTTTTATGGTTGGACCGCGATTGAGGCATTATGTCTGAAGTTTCGCTCCATTTGCTGGGAGCCATTGAGTTCCGAATAAAGCACGTGGAGCAAAACGTCGGACATCATGCCAAGCAACACGTGGTACAACTAGGGTGGCCACCTGTCTGGGGTTGACCCGGACAGTTCAATAATTGGCATCTGTGCTTGGGTGGCAAAAATTTATTTGTGCTGAGATCTGGTGGTATTGTGTTCAACTTTATTACGGTTTACTGCACAATTTTGATAGCGAAATATGTCCAGGTTTGCTCTGTGGAAAAAGTGACAACGGCAACCCTAGGTACAAGCCAAACACACATCAGAGAGCTATCCTTTGGGCCAATAGAAAATGGAGCTCGATACGTAACTGTCCTTCTGTCCCTTATTGTGTCTTGGTCCTGTGCCAAGCTGTAGCGACCATGGAGAAATATAATGCTGATGATGACAATATCCTTGTACGTGTCAATCCACTGCTGGATGAGGGCCTCCCACGCTTCACCGAGCTGATCAGTCGGTGCGAGTCTGTAAATGTGGGGAACATAGAGGTGGGAGTGTAGAAGTACAGTAGTACAAATGGTTTTTATTGCAATGGTTTCTGGTATCCACAGTGTAGTCCCACAGCCCAATGCCAACCTGTTCGTGCGTGATCACCCAACAAAGCACTATGCAGGCTGGGCCCTGCTGAGATCTGATGGGATTGGCGGTATTCTGGGTGAATTGGTCATAGGCAAATTCCCCACATTCCTGGATGCTGCGCTCTAGACTTGAAATTCAGACATCGCCTGTTTGATGCTATCTCCCGGTGCAGCAGTTGCAACAATTGGCACGTTTCTTAAAATTCCACGCCTCTGTCAACCCAGCAGTATATACTCGGGCACACCGCAGTGAGTCGACTGGCAGGTTGCGGATGACGAGGGAAAGAGTGGGTACTCCCACCTCTGGCAAGACATCTGACTAGTGTGGAAGAGTAGGCCAACTTCCCTCGGGAGAGGCTCTCTTGAGCTCCCTCTAGTGGAAGCCCTTCTGCCAGCAGTGGCGTGAGCGAGATATTGCAGGACTGTGCCTTTACCTTTTACAATCTCACAATTATAGCTGAAATATCTAGTTTTTATTAATGAAATGTTGGTATACCCCAACTTGTAATTTTTTACTACGTAGCTGTAACCATGTAAATAGAACAGAGTTGGGTAAAGCTGTACTGCTCTCAAGACTTGTATACGCATATAGTGTATACATTGTATTCTTAATATAGTTACACATGTATTAAATACTTATATTGTACACTGAAGTCCCTCAACAACAATGATAATGGTTTAAGTATTTTGTGACTTCCTTATGAGCAAAGGTTGAATATATTTCCTGATTTATAAATGAAACAACAGATTGTATAAAATCCAGGAAACAATTATCAAAACAATGACATTTTAATTGATGACATTTGTTTTCATGAAGTTGTGAGGCATTTAAGTGGCATATTCAATCACCACAGAAAAATAAAGATTTTTTTTATTTAAACGCACCAAAATAACGTGCCCACAATCATACCATTGTTAACCTTAACTTCAAGTAAACTGTAAATCATATCAATACAGTAACGTTACTTATGGCAAAGCATTCCTCGTAAAACTGAGGAGCTCATAGCACCAGATTGCTAAACTTGTAAGAAAAGACGAAATATAAATGCGTACAATGAAAGAATAAGATGTTTGGAAGGTTGTTTTTGTTTGCTGTATGCATTTAAGAAGCAAAAGAGAAGGGTAAGGAAGTGATGGAATAACCGCAGCCTACTGTATGGAGGCACGCTAAATATGTAGTTTGGACATGTGGAGGGAGGACCATCAGGGCCAATACAAATGCAGAGAAGCACAACAGCACCCTAAAGAGCACCTTCAATGAGACTGGAGTGCAACCAATCAAAATCAATATTATAAAGTGCTCTGTGAAACATTGTGCAGCCAAGACGAATGTCAAATTTGGTTTCTTTTCTTCCCAGAAAAATGTACAGCCTTTTGTCAAACCACTGCTGGATGAAGGCCTCCCCATACCGTTGGGTATTGTTTGACCATACTTCACCACGCTGGTCAGTGGGTGTTGAATACCCCAGATGAATATACTATCCGAGATGATTTGTGTGTAGAGATTGCTTTTAAATCTAACCTCTAAGTTATTAAAAGTGAGATTTTATGGAGCTCTTTTATTAAGTGCTTCTGTGTATTTTTATTGGTTCTGATGCTGTGGTTTGATTGTATTAACCATTTTTTAGATTTTATTTAAAGCTTTCGTGACTGCAATGATTCATATTCTTGATTCTTTCGGTAAAGTCACGTTGAAGGGAAACAATAAAACGTGATTTTTTTAAATGTTGCACAGCGAGGATAACTTTGCATACTGTATATATTAATGAAAAACTATTTTTATTTTAGCAGGTAAGGCCCACTGGGCTATATAGTTATTTTTTTCAGAAGCGACCTGGCCACAAATCATAGCTCAACCAAGTGGCTTATCACGTGACTATAGCAGCCAAATACTATAAACACGATTCAAAATGTGGTGGGAAAAACCAGCGGACCCGGAGAAAAATCCAAGCAAACACGGGGCGAACATGCACCTCCAAATATACGACAGGCGTCAGGGTCGGGATCGAACCCGCAACCTCCTGTATACCAGGCGAGGTCGTTGACATCTCACCACCGTGGCGAGATTTGCTCAAGTACTACCTGTATACATTAAACTATACACAGCTATTACCATGATCGCTGTTCCGACCGATTTAAAATAGAGCGGTCGTCATATGATGTCTAAATAGGAAACAACAATTCAAACTGGTGATGGAAAGTAAACCAAGGCCCCATTGTCCTTTCCCGTGCTCGCCGAGTCTATCAGTAGAGGTATCTCAGCTGCATGTCTTTGATTCAATGGAATGCAGCATTAGATTGAATTTACTTAACTTTATTTTCGAGCAACATATGTCAAAGTACGTTTTATAATAACGTAGTGAAAAAAAAGCTCTGCCGTTATTGCAATAACCTTGGTGACACAACGTGTTGTAAGGAAACAAAATTCAAATTGTTTTCTTCTCTCCCCTTCCTGCCACCTCCATATGCAGTCCGAATGGAAAGTGCCAGCTCGAAGCTGGTGGCATAAAATCTGGATAAACTTGAACTGACGTGCGGGCACCGTAGTGTTAAGACATGTCACCAAAGGGTAAAGAAGAGCCTTCATTCGAAACGTACGTCCGTACATGGGACAATGAAGTGAAGGCTCTGAGTTAGGGGTGGGGGGGTTAGTTGTTGCGTGGCTTAAAGACCACGGTTCTGTTGACGGTCGTGGAGCGGCGTTATGAGATGAGGTTGTTTTCTCCCGGATACAGGTCAAACAGCTTCTCCACTTCCGCACTGAAGGCATCGCCTGGAGGCACAGAAAGCAGTCCAGAAAGAAATGGTAAGATTCCGCAAAAATGTTGTTCTTGTGGAATTGTTTATGGGTACTGTACAGTATATTTCTTGAAAATTATAACTAGATTATAAACTTTGACCGATTCTTCATAGTGTCTCTAGGAATTTTTGTAATAACACTGTGTATTATTTTAAACTATTTTTTATGTTAGTAGGTAAGGCCCACTGAGCTATACAGCTCTTTTTTCAGAAGCAACCTGGCCATAAATGATAGCTCAACGAAGTGGCTTATCACGTGCAAATGTAGAGCAGCCAAATACTTTAAACGCACGTTTATGCACATTAACTGACTTTTTTTTTGCCTACACTGATATGTTTTTGCACGCATTGTCCAACGGCTAATTGCACGATTGATAGATTTCTATACACAATTCTCACCAAGTCTCATGACAATGCTCGTGAAGTGTACGCAGGGTAAACTAAAGCCTGTTTTTGTCCACCTTTAACTAAGTGAGGTCAGTCAGTTCCTTTCAATAACATGGGAACCTAGAGAATTCAGCGGAGGCACTGAAGACTTCCATTCTGCTTCCCCCGAAGCTGTCATTTAGCTGTTAGACCTGGACTTAGGAGTTGCTACACACAAGAAGACGAAGAATGAGAGAGGTCATGAACAGCAACTCTTTCCCGTTTAACTCTGGAAGAAGTCGTACCATTGTGACAGTTGTACATCCACACGCGGTGTCCGTCGAATTTGCAGTTGCATTTCATGGCGTTGTTGGTGAAGTCAGTTTCTGAGACCTCGTAGTTGGGGTTTATGACAACCTGGAATTGTGCACAAAACAGAGCGCCTTTATCTTCTTTGGTTCTTTCGGTAAAGTCACGTAGAATGAGAATAAAATAATAAATTGATAAAATAAAATAACACAATAATATTCTCACGACGTTTCAGCCACAACACAAGCGGCCTTCATCAGGTGAAGGGAGCGAGACTGTCTGGTAGGACAGCGCTGGAGTGAGAGAGCCACGTTCAGATCACGGCTTTTAAGCTGTGTGAGAGGAACAAAGAGCCTTGACGAAGGAATTAGCATAAAATTTAGCATTGAAAAGGCTGAATGATTAGCTTGTGACTGGTCACAGAAATAGCTATGTTAAAAGTTAAAGCATACACATCCGCAGAGGCACCCATTGTTAAAAGGAATTAGCATAGAATTTAGCATTGAAATAGCTAAATTAAGGCATTCGCTTGTAACTGCTACAGAAATAGTTACGTTGAAGTCAGAGCATACACATTCACCGAGGCACTTAGTACAAATCAAAACAGGAGAATTTAGCATTGAAATAACTAGGCGAATTTAGCATTGAAATAACTGGGTGATTTGCTAGTGACTGGTCACAGAAATGACTACACATCTGAGCTATTCACTATATAGTACTGTGAATAGCTCAGATGTGTAGTCATTTCTGTGACCAGTCACTAGCAAATCACCCAGTTATTTCAATGCTAAATTCGCCTAGTTATTTCAATGCTAAATTCTCCTGTTTTGATTTGTACTAAGTGCCTCGGTGAATGTGTATGCTCTGACTTCAACGTAACTATTTCTGTAGCAGTTACAAGCGAATGCCTTAATTTAGCTATTTCAATGCTAAATTCTATGCTAATTCCTTTTAACAATGGGTGCCTCTGCGGATGTGTATGCTTTAACTTTTAACATAGCTATTTCTGTGACCAGTCACAAGCTAATCATTCAGCCTTTTCAATGCTAAATTTTATGCTAATTCCTTCGTCAAGGCTCTTTGTTCCTCTCACACAGCTTAAAAGCCGTGATCTGAACGTGGCTCTCTCACTCCAGCGCTGTCCTACCAGACAGTCTCGCTCCCTTCACCTGATGAAGGCCGCTTGTGTTGTGGCTGAAACGTCGTGAGAATATTATTGTGTTATTTTATTTTATCAATTTATTATTTTATTCTCATTCTACGTGACTTTACCGAAAGAACCAAAGAAGATGAATCATTGCAGTCACGAAAGCTTTAGAGCGCCTTTACTTCACCGAATTATTAATGCAACGTTTCATTCTCAAAGGACCTATATTTTTCGTTTGTGAACAACAATTTTTTTATCGCACTAAATTATTAATGCTACTTTTAACCAATTATAATTATCGAAGGGCTATATTTTGATCATAGGAAAGGGTAACAGGATGCTGTGTGAGCTCAGTTTGAATGTTAATTCCATTGACTCATACTCCTTAAATTTCCATTCAACATAGTTCAGGTTTAAGTCATGCACAGGCACACTGACATAAAAACCAGATGCTTATTGAAATGCAATGTTTACACTATTTAATGAGCATATTTGCCTCCTGTTTCCGTTAAAAAAGCTTTTTGGACAATTTTCATACGTTTATAATAAAACATTTAAATAGCACATGGAATGTGAAATATCGCCCTTACGATATAGTTACTGTGATTTGTATTATCGTGGAATCTACATGTACAGCCCTTTTGCCAATCCACTGCTGGATGAGCGCCTCCCATGCAGCGTGAATCATGTGGATTATTGACCATACAGTACTTCCCCACAATTAATGTAATGGAATTAATCAATATATTTAATGTAAAATATAATTTGGTTATAATGCACCAATTCAATATCATTATCACACAATATGTTTTTTCCCCCCAGAATCTAACAAAAAGATTTCATTATTTTATGGGAAACATGCTGGACTGTATTTAATACATTATACAGCTGATGCTTTGCTTTGTATTGTCATAAAATCAAATCTGGACAAATCTGTCCAGTTCTTAGAATGAGACTAACAAATTAACAAAGATTCAGGTGCTTTGCAGATGGAATTAGTGCATCATGTATATTTTATCACGTGGGACTCCAAACTGCAGGTTCGTGAATTGTTAAAAACAAAGCAAGAGACGTCTGCCGGTGGCTCAAAAGTTTGGTGGGGCAGTATTCTGGGTGAGTCTCATGCAAATACATATTATTATTATCATGATAAATGTTCAGTTTGTGCTGTTGGGTCATCACGCGGCAGCGACACTGACTTGGAAGATGTAGTCTCCCGGTGCCACATCCGTCACGTCGACCCACTGGCAGTCGATGTCATGACGGTAGATGTCTTGGCAGCCGACTGCAATTCCCTGATCTCCAAAGTTCGCACACTCGTAGCGCTTCTGAACACCTGCACGGAGCCACAATTAAAACTATGAACGAAACATTTATTTTTATTTTAGCAGGTAAGGCCCACTGAGCTATATAGCTGTTTTTTTTCAGAGGCGACTTGATAAGCCACTTGGTTGAGCTATGATTTGTGGCCATGTCGCTTCTGAAAAAAAAGAACTATATAGCTCAGTGGGCCTTACCTGCTAAAATATTTTTTTTGTTTAGTTTTAGTTTACTTGTCCAAAAGAAGGCCAGGACAGACTCACATCGCGGGTGGCACGTTTGTGATTATTCCCGCGTGGTCGTCGGCATTGTTAGGACAATGCCGAGGCTAAGCGATGAAAACGTTAGCGTATTAAAAAAAACAAACTCATGACGCCGTGTGGTGATTGACAGGCTTGTAATGCAGCGTGATATCCACTGGGCCACTGATACCCCAGACATTATCGAACAAGTGAAATAAAATTACACACAGACCTTTGTCAATCTGGTAGCATAATACAGTTAATAAAGGGCACGAGCAATGGGCCACTGTGTACACAGGGTAGCAAGCCCTCCTCTCACGGTGCAGTTGACAATGATTCATCTCGGCTGTATTCGTGATACCTGGAACTATGATCGGCACTGCGATTGCCGTGTGCTGTGCGTGGTGTACATATGGGGGAAATTCGGCGATCGTTCTCCGTTCGTGACGCTTTGTCGGTGGTGGAAATGCAATGGTACGGTAGAAAACCCTCTTAACGACAGTAACTGATTCCGCGAAACCGGCCGTTAAGTGATTTGGTCGTTAAGCGAGAAAAGCGAATGCACATTAAAGGCTTTAATTCGCTCCGATAGCATCTAAAGTTACCCCTTTTCAACCCCAAAAAAGTACTTTATTATATTTAAACAATGAATATTGATACATAAAGATACCAACAACATTATAAACACATAATATGAAAATAAACACGGTTAACCAATGCATTAATTAATATTTACTGTACCTACAACAGCCCGTCGTTAACAGGGGAATGGTCGGTAAGTGAACATATTGGGCTCTATGGAGGCACTACACTACTATACACTACTCTATACACTACTATACACTACTATACACTACACTACTATACACTACACTACTATACACTACACTATACACTACACTATACACTACACTATACACTACACTATACACTACACTACTATACACTACACTATACACTACTATACACTACACTATACACTACACTCTACACTACTATACACTACACTATACACTACTATACACTACACTACTATACACAACACTTTACACTACTATACACTACACTATACACTACATTATACACTACACTATACACTACTATACACTACACTATACACTACACTATATACTACATTATACACTACACTATACACTACTATACACTACCATACACTACACTATACACTACACTACTATACACTACACTATTATACACTACACTATACACTACACTACTATACACTACACTACTATAAACACTACTATACACTACACTACTATACACTACACTATAAACTACTATACACTACACTACTATACACTACACTATAAACTACTATACACTACACTACTATACACTACACTATAAACTACTATACACTACACTATACACTACACATTGGGCTCTATGGAGGCCTGTCGTTATGGGACAGGTGGTCGTTACGAGGGGTTTCTACCGAGTGGCGCCCAGTCTATGACTGCAGAGATACACCCTTGGGGGGGGGGGGGAGGACATCGCAGAGCCTCGTTGGGGTAAGTGAGTTAGCGTCTGCCCCGGTTATAATCGTCTCAGACTTTCACTTCGTCTTGTTTTGTTGCACCTCTTTGTTGTCGGTCGTCGGGGTGAGGGGTTGTTTATGTCATACTTCACCACACTGGTCATGGCAGGCTGGTGAAGCAGACCTCTAGATGCGTTTCGTATCTCACTCGCTGCTGACGTCAGCTTTTGGCCGGGGAGTCGAACTTGGTTCGGTGATTTTTTTTCGGTAAAGTCACGTAGAAGGGAAACAATAAAATAATACAAATATAAAACAATATTTTATTATTTTCTTGTTTCCCTTCTTATGTGACTTTAAAATATAAAAACATATTTAAAAAAATGTATTGTTTCCCTTCTACGTGACTTTACCGAAAGAACCAAGAATATGAATCCCTGCAGTCACGAAAGCTTTAAATCAAAATTTAGTTCGGTGAGTTTAGGGGCCGTCCATAAATGACGTCACGCGATTTTGGACGATTTTTGACCCCCCGCCTCGTCACACGGCGTCACAAAAAGTCAGACCCCCCCCTCAAATATGACGTCACAAAGCTCTGCCCCCCCCCCCCGCCCAAAAAAAATATAAAACATGCTTCAAATCGCTTTAAACTATTGTCATTGTAGTGCGTATTTAATGTGGCGCTGCACTCTGATGTTGTAGGAGAAAACATTTATTAAAAAGTCTATTTAATTAAGTAGAACGTGTTGTCTATATTTATTTAAAGTTGCGCATTTTGATGTGACGTCACATTTCTCAAACCCCCCCCCCCCTACCTCGTCACACATCGTCACAAATATCTGACCCCCCCCCCCTCCCCTAGGTGCGTGACGTCATTTATGGACGGCCCCTTATCACGCAGGGTGATAACCACTGCATCGACACTAACCCCGGTTTTAGTGTTTAATTAGTTCACTAAAACTAACAGTTTGTGTCCAGATTAATTTTTGTATGCCAGTTTGCGTTATACACATTGTGTGATTTTGTTGTGGAATGTATACGCCGCACTGGGTATCCCACATTCCGCAGACCCTGCCTCGCGTACAGAGTTTGGCCAGCAGAGGGCACAGCAGATTAACAGATGAGCGAGTTGGGTTTGGACTGGGAATTATATATACACACACATTTTGGACAAATATACAACGATTATTCCATTAGTTTGAGCACACAAAAAAATAATGTATGCGTGTCAAAAATATTAAACAGTGAAGGAAAATTAAAAACTGTTGTCCTTATTTTTTCAGGCAAAATATAAAAAGTGATATATGAACCTACGCAAGTTTTGTAGTTATTTTGTTATACATATGCAAATATTAACATTCTTTGACACAGACAAGTTCTAAAGAAGAAAAAATATGGCCAAACATCCTTTTCCAGTTTCCCCCTGAAAAAAAGAGTTGAATGTATTTATATATACTTGGGGGTGAAAATCTGAAATTACATGAATTTTAATCAAATGAAAACAAAACTTCAGACTCAATGCAGCATTGATGAGTAAAAACTAATAGATGCCAATGGAAACTCTGACACGAATTAAACTCGAAACCGTTTGTAGTATTTTTTTTTAATATTATGATGGTTAGCATGTGAACCCACGTTCATAGAAAGTAAAAAAAAAATCTAACATTAATGACTCAAGCTTCTCCCCCGCGTTGCTTCTTAGTGTGCGCTCTTGAATTAATTCACAGCAACGCAAATGTTGCCGATGGGTTTGCGTCGGCGCAGCGAGTTGCCGTCACGAACCTGGCTCGCACGACGTGTCCTCCAGGCAGAAGCTGGCTTTGTGTCCCTCCGCCACCTTCGTGCCGTTGAGCGTGAGCAAGTCGTAGTGGGTGAACACCTCCATGCTGTGGTAATGCCTGCGGTGGTACAAGTGAGGAGAGCAAAGTCCCATCTCCTGCATCGGTGAGCAAGATGGGCTTCTCGCCAGTTGTAACCGCCGTTCAATGTGCTCACGAGATGTCTGCAGTGACGAACATCTACACGTCGAAGTCAGCTCAAACTTCCCGTAAACCACCACTTGACTTCTGTGTGGTCACCAGCACTCTGAATCCCTCCCTTTTCCCGGCCCCCTATGAAAACACACGCTGACGCTCCTCCATGCAGCTCACTCTTGTTGCTCCTTATCTTTCCTTCCCGCTCAATTTCCCTGATCCCCAACATCTCCCGGTCATTCCTTCTCCCCTTCCCCCCTTTCCTGTCCGGCGTTCCTTCTATATTTTTATAACGATGCATCTATTTATTTATTTATTCCTGCTGCTCATCTCGAGCTGTGCTCTCTGCTTTGTCTGGCTTGGGAACTTCTATCCCGCCATTCCTTCCCTTTCCCATTCATTTTAATTTCTACGTAAATTATATCCTTGACTCTACTCCCCTTCCCGTTGTTTGTCATGGTTTAACAGTTTTATATTCATCAAGTAAGATCTTTTTTTTAATATTAGTCAACAATAAATATGAGTGGACTAAAATCTTCAAGCGTGACAATGACTGCAACTACCCAACAAGCATGATTATGATGAAATCAAATTAACTATCCTGAATGAAGATGCAGACTAAGGTAAGTGAGTAACGTTTTCAGACAATACAGTGCACTGAGGAAGGCCAAAAATGGTAATTGGATATTTATGTATATGTAAATAAAACATATTTACAGTGTTCGCTGATTGGTTGACCAGATATCTTTCTGAAGAAAAATTGGCACCTCTCACACAAACATTTCATAACTAATCGTTAACAAATGTTTTACTGCGATAGTGGACCAGACTAAGAGAATGACAAAAAAAATGCTGAAAGAATAAGACTGGTTCTAACAGTGTATGAATGATATTCAAGTTGACTTTGGCTAGGCCTTTTAGTTTTTCAAGACAACAGAATGCAGTGTTTATCAAATCTGGGAGTAGCATTTTCATTGCTTGCTAAATTGTAAAGCTGTTATCACTAAAATAATAAACAACGTAATGTATAAACACTCATCATGTGCTGCAGTGGAGGATTATGGGTAATAAAATAGATATCCAACTTTCATGAAAATAAAATACTCTTTAGTCCATCAGCCGATTGGCCTTCCAGACTAACATTGACTTGCTTGAATAAACACGACGGCATATTTTATTTGTACGTGGAACGACTAACAGAGGCCGGATTATTTATTTCCCCATGATCATTTTAATAACTTGGCGGGACCCCGGGGTCCCGCAAAAATCAGGTCAATAATAATTATTATTTTTCAGTCCGCCCACTCGTGATCCCGACAGCAACGCGCCGCCCGCCCAGACTCGCGCCAACAAGCGCCAGCAGGCGGCGATCAACACGATGGGCGCCACCCCACTGGCCAAACGCAAGCCCCGGGGGGCGTCCGCCGCAGTCGCGCGCGGCGACGACGCCCTCCGGTCAGCCGTCGATCCTCAGCTTCTTTGCCAAGGCGAGCCCGCCCCCGCAGTGAATTTAACGTGTTTATGTAATTTTTCAACTTTTTACGAAACTTTGTGCCCCGAGTAGCTCTCGACGAGGCCAATCGATTGACCACTAGTTTTGTTGTTGTCGGTAAGGCAAGACTCGTGTCGCTACGAAGGTTTTTCCCACCCCGGGGCAGTGATGGGACCCCGGGGTCCCGCCAATTGCTTCATTTACTCAATTGCATAGTCCGTTCTTATACAGTACAGCTGTTTTGTGCTGAAAAGGGGCCCTCTCTACATATATCTTATGTGGAGTGCTTATGCCTATAACATCTGGCACCGAACAGTACTTTGTTTAATAAACCTGACTCTGCTGATACAGTACGTCCTACAAGGTGAAAATGGAACACAGGAATTATATTCAGTCATATTTCAACCATTTACACGTGGTGGCAGGGAAAGTATCCAGTGAATTGGTGTGACGGTAAAGCAAGTATGTTAAAATCAACAATGTGTGGATTTGACCGGTGGCCTTAGTGGAGAGCTTTTGCAACTGTGAAGAGCCTTCGGAGCAAACTAGTCCTGGCGAAGGTACTGTGGTGACATCACCATCATTACAACGAGTGGTACTCATGTGTATACCTTTACTATTAATGTACTTACTGCGTGTTGAACTTCTTTCGCACCGTACGTAGCCAACCGAGTTAATCGGATGTAGACATGTACGTATTTCAACTTAATATGTATATCAAATGCTCATGAGCGCAGTAGTTAGGGGCTATACAACTGTGTATCGTGTATATGGAGCATATTTTTCTTATGTTTGCAACATTAACCAATACCATACGCACATCGAAACAGATCGGTAGACTTCCACTGCTTGCTACGTCATGCAAATTAAGCAGGATTGGGGCTCGCTTGTAGCATCAGCAAACTGTGGAGAAAGAGGGTTGATCGCAAGCATTCGAAGCAACTAGCCACCCCAACGATGGTGCCATGAAAATGTACCAACGGTGACCTTTCGGTGATCTCTGTTTGAGAACCTCAGACATGTGCCTCTGTGAGTTAGTGGACGGAGTTGCTTCGGGGGATTGTTACTCATCGATTTGCTCGTACGCGCACTCTGTGGACAATTTTTATCATCAATCTGCCGTGTTGCGTGCCTGTCCAAGGTGCTGCTTTAAAACGGACTAGCCACGCACATCTGTGGGACACAAATCACGATGCGACTTTCTTTTAGGAGACTAAAAGGAAGGGGCGCACACACCAGCTGCAGAATCTCCATTACATTTCAGGACTGCGTTGCCCTATCGCTTTCCATAATATATCGCTGCAATGTATATTTTTAATATACTGTATATATCGGCATTAACTATAACGATACAGAGAGGCGGCCTTTTGTCATCAGTTGTGAAATGTAGTGAGGCATGATTGTTATTATTATCTGCACCACTGCCAACAAGTTTCAAGATATTTGAACTATTTGACTTTAGCATTATATAACACGTAGGTTCAACCTGGCACCATCCAACACAGTCAATTAGTAAGGTTTGTCACGCAAACAGAACATGCCAACCCAAAAAAACCCTATATTTTGGATTTAGCATTATTGAAATAGGCAATCAGCTCATAGGTAAATTTTATACGTAAGGCTTTCGTGACTAATATGATTGATAATGATCACACATCTTAGTAGATGCTTCCACAGAGTACTTTTTCGCTCTTGTCTTGATAAATTGGCCGCAGACAGAGCAAAATGCGTCTGCCAGATGCTTGGAAAGTTCTAAAATGTTCTAGAAGTTACTCCAAGTTTACTCAGCACTGAATCTATCTGGAATGTTCAGAAAATAGGTAAATTTCAAAATATCATGGTCCTGGTCACAAAAGCAAAGTTTGTGGGGAATAATAGCCATTTTCTGTACTTTTGAGGCATAAGCAATTAGGAAATAACACTTACTACCCAGGAACAAAAAAATAATAAATTGTTACACAGTGCTATTGTTTTCTCCTGGGATAAATCGTGGAGGTATAATGCCATTTTTTTACTATAACGCTCCACCACCCCGACACAGCCTATCAAATATAGTTGTAACGTGGGCAGATATGCAAATTGATTTTGGTTAATTATCAAAACGGGAATGTTGAAAGGCAAGCAACATTTTTACACTTTTATACATGCCGTTTCGCTTGAGATTACATCCAGCATCATCAAGATAACTAGATTATATTTTATTTATTTCAGCAGAAAAGGCCCAACAAGCTGCTAGGTTGTATTGCAAGAGCCCCGATCTCGTGTGAAAGCTTTTTTACAGTAATACCCCGGTTTACGTCGGGGATGCATTCCTCAAAGGTGCGACGACGAATATCGAAACGACGTCAATCAAATCAATTTACAGGCTAGGTGGAGGTGAAGGCTGAGAGGCAGATGGATACGAGAAAGGACAGATGATGCTGTCAGTGACGTACGTGTGGGGTTGAGGCGACACAAATAAGGTCGTGGTATTAAATAAAGTATACACGTATGTATGCCGAACTTCCTCTTGCCCTCTGCGTAGCCAGCCCTGCGACTCGGAGGTGCGACGCATTAGCGAAATTACGTAAAGAGAGTGGGGAAGACCGCATCTTGAAATGCCCCTGGCCCTCCCGCTCGACCGGGGCCGTCCCCTCTCGTACCTGTGGCACTGATGCCAGACCCACGCGTGGCTGCCGGCCTTGGGCCTGAAGTCGGTGCGCCCGACGTTGTGGATCTGCGAGGAGAAGCGCAGGAGGCGCCGCGAGCCGTACGGCCAGTTCATGGCAGAGGCGCTCGCCGACAGGCAGTTCTCCTCGGCGGCGCAGTACAGCAGGTGCAGCGGGCGGTCCTCCAGGTAGGCCGACTCCTGCACGATGCGCGAGTTCAGCACCAGGTCCGGGGCGCCTGCCGGGAAAGCCGCGCGGTGCCCGTTGGTCACGGGGAGCTCTGCGCTGTTGGCCCACGGTCGGACCACGTCCCTATCGACCCCGGCGCTTCATGTGTGTGCGTCTGTGTGTCCAATTGGGGGTGGCTGCAGTGAGCGGCAGATGTTCAGTTGTGTCTTTTTTTTTTTCTCGAGTCCTCTTTCTGTTTGCGTAAAGCTACCGAATGACTGGAGTCGTAAGACCCAGCGAGGTTTTTCTGGGTGAACAGTAAATCGAAATATTAATGCTGGGAGGCTCAACCGTCCGGGATGCAAGGTGATGTTGCAACTCCTCCCTCCCTCAATCCTACCTACCTTTACATATTTAACAAATATGGTGATGCTGCGTTGGCAGCGGTGCACAAGAATAAAACATAACAACAAAACTCAACACATTCGTCAATAACATTGCATAGGCAACGTTTCGGGCAGTGGCCCTTTTTTGTAGCATGTAGCCGCTTTTGACATAGCCATGCCCAACTCAGCCACTATCCAGACCCGCAGGGGTGAGTGGCCTGCTCATCGGGCCCTGCCTGGCCCATGAAGGCTTTCCACCTCGGTTAGAGTTGCCGACTCAACGAACGCCGCTCGCGGTTAAAGAATCATCGGTACGGGGCGGTAGCGGTACGGGGCGGTAGCGGGACGGGGCGGTAGCGGGACGGGGCGGTAGCGGTACGGGGCGGTAGCGGGACGGGGCGGTAGCGGGACGGGGCGGTAGCGGTACGGGGCGGTAGCGGTACGGGGCGGTAGCGGGACGGGGCGGTAGCGGTACGGGGCGGTAGCGGTACGGCGCGGTAGCGGTACGGAGCGGCGTACTCTCGGTGCAGACGACGCCGGCGGCATAGCGGCCACCCCCTCTCTTGCATTTGACGCGGCTGCCGTGGTGGCGGCAGTGGGCCAACGACATCTCGGTTCCCGAGCACTGCACGCCGCTCATGAGCACCTCCTCCACGCCGCTGTCGCCCTGGAAGTACCACGTCTCCTGCGCACCCGGGGTGGAGGGCGGTCGGGGGTTCAGGGCAGGATGGTTAAGTTGAGCGGAGCAGTGCGAGCACTCAAGACTGAATTAAACGAAACATTTTTTTTTTTACCAGGTAAGGCCCACTGAGGTATATAGCTTCTTTTTTTTTTTCAAAAGCGACCTGGCCACAAACGATAGCTCACAGAAGTGGCTTATGATGTGGACACTTAAGAGCAGCCAAACACTCTAAACGCGTGTTTATAAACGTGAAGGGAAAAAACACGCGACCACTGGGATAACGCGTGGGACCTCCAAAATACAGGCGTTAGGGTCGGGATCGAACCCACAACCTCCTGCATACCAGGCGAGGGAGTTAACATCTCCTAGCCACCGTGGCGCCCCATGCCTGGGAGCCAAGTGCCCATTTCTTCACACGTCGCCTCTCCACTTTACACTAAAACAAACTCCACTGCCTGGGCCTATCCTCTTCTCAGATTTTTGTCATGGTCGATTACCGGTACTTGCTGAAATAGCAGCTATTATACTCTTTGGTTTTATTCGGTAAAGTCACGTAGGTAAAACAAATTAAAATAAAATAAACAATTAAAACACGACGTTTCGGAGGTAACGCAAGCTTCCGTCTTCAGGTAGGACCAGTCACAGCCAAAATCGCTGCACCAAGTGGCGAGGCTCTGGGAACCTAGTGCTTAAATACAGGTTAAGGTAGGGGGGGGGGGGGTGTGGGAGGGGCCATGTAGGAGACTTTAATGGGGTGCGGAGCTGAGTTAATCCGCCTTTTGTCGTGTAGAGGGTGCGGGAGATGGGTCACTGTGTGTGTGCAATATGAACGGAAAGAGGCTCTGCCAGGCTGTGCTGTAAGGGAGCAGTAGAAAAAAGGAAAATCGAAAAGTTCGGAAATAATGTTTGGTATACCACTGCTTGAAATTGCTGTTAGAAATTAGTTAGCGTTTGGTATGATTTAAAACGTCTCTTCAGTGGTTGCTTAATTTGAAACCATCCTCTCGGTTGAAGTAATTCCTGTGTTTGTATTTGTTGTGTAGAGGGTGCGGGGGATGGGTCGCTGTGTGTGTGCGGGGATGAGTTAATCCGTCTTTTGTTTTGTGGAGGGTGCGGGAGATGGGTCACTGTGTGTGTGCAATATAAACGGAAAGAGTATCGGCCAGGATGTGCTGTAAGGGAGCAGTAGAAAAAGTTAAATAGAAAAGTTCGGAAGGAATGTTTGGTATACCACTGCTTGAAATTTCTGTTAGAAATTAGTTAGCGTTTGGTATGATTCAAAACGCTTTCCAGTGGTTGCTTAATTTGAAACCATCCTCTCGGTTGAAATTATGCCTGTGTTTGTACATCTGAATGGCTTCGTGGACACATCTTTGGTGATAACCTGTAGGTTTACAAAGAACCTTGGTATCGGAAAAGACAATCTCATGATCACCCATAGCGTTGTAACAGTGATCAGCCACAGCAGATGAATTGGTTCTGCCGTGTTTCAAATCTGATTTATGCTCGCGAATTCGGTCAGAGATATGTCGTTTCGTCTCCCCGATATAACAATCACCAGAGGTACAGCTCAGTTATTTCAATGATAAATTATCCTGTTTGATTTGTAAACCCCTTTGTCAAGGTGCCTCACTTCTCTAAACCAGCTTAAAAGACGCTACGAATCTTAACAACGTTCATTGAAGCTCTGTCGTCCCGACAGGTCTGTTCCTTTCACCTGAAGAAGGCCACTTGTGTTGTGGCCGAAACATCGTGATAATTTTATTGTGTTATTTTATTTTATTAATTTATTATTTTATTCTCATTCTACGTGACTCCGGGGTACTGTAAGTCAGGGATGACATCCTTTACGGATGGGATCAGATCACGTATTTTGTGTACTGTATTGAAACCGGACTTGGATCTTGTGTTTGTTTAGAATTTTGGAAATCTTTTTAGTAACGCCTGCTATGTAAGGTAGTGTGATGGTTTTGATCGGAGTATCAGGTGGTTTCGGTAAAGTCACGTAGAATGAGAATAAAATAATAAATTGATAAAATAAAATAACACAATAATATCAATTTATTATTTTATTCTCATTCTACGTGACTTTACCGAAAGAACCAAAGAAGATGAATCATTGCAGTCACGAAAGCTTTAAATCGAAATTTATCAGGTGGTTGTTTCTGTATGGTAGGAGAAACAGCTTGGCAGATGGTACGGTCAGAGTATCCGTTCCTCCTAAGGGCCAGCCGTACCAATTTTAATTCACTGGTCAAGTGGTGTTGGTCTGAAATGCAATGAGTCCTATGGTGTAACGTTTTGATGAGAGAGTTCTTTTGAGCCGGGTGGTGGTGGTGGGAATCCGGTTTCAAGTAGGAATCTGTGTGGGTGGGCTTTCTGTTAACAGAATGTCCCAACGAGCCATCAGACCTCCTCTCAAACAGAACATCCAAGAATGGAAGCTTGCCATCTTTCTCTATTTCCATGGTGAATCTGATGGAAGGGTGTCTGGAATTGATCTGGTCCAGGAAAAGGTTCAAAGCTGGGAGGCCATGTAGCCAAATGACGAAAGTGTCATCCACATATCTCTTCCACAGGTAAGGACTGAGGGTGAATATCTGGATGGCGTCCGATTCAAATTTCTCCATAAAAACATTGGCTATCACTGGTGACAAGGGAGAACCCATGGGAGTACCCTCATTTTGCTTGTAAAAGGTACCATTCCAAGTAAAGTAGGTGTTGGTGAGGCAGTGCCTAACCAGCGCAGGTACTTCGGGGTTTAGGCCATGTTGGACCAGATCTTCAATTATTTCAATGGTGTCAGGTACTGGGACCTTGGTGAACAGAGACACCACATCAAAGCTGGCGAGGATATCGTCAGGGGCCAGTACAATGTCTTTGACCATAGAGACCAATTGGGATGAGTTAAGTATTATACAATGTGTGTGTAAGACTATTGTAATATCTTTGTAAGATGTCAGGGATTGCATTGGCAGTGGAGTATAAGCACGAGTAAGGACAATGAAAACAACTCCAGGAGATACAGAAGAAGAAGAGAACCCCCATAATGGAAGCTTTTTTGTACACACTTCCATTTTAAAAAATGCGTGATATGTTGCTCATGGCAGCGAAAAGTATTTGCAATTTGTGTACTGTTTAAACAAAAGCTGGGTATTTTAAAATGGGGACTTGAGATCATGCCTTGGCAAAGTCGCGAAGAACAGGCCGCTGCCGTCTGCAGAAAGCTTTTGATGCCATGTTATTGTTGGGTTTCCTGTTTGCGGGATTGCCAGCTGGGCAGGAGATGGTGAATGAGTTATGTCTTGGAAAGTACGTAAACTGCCATTAGAAGAGGATGGCCAAGCGGCACAGTGCGTAATTGCGTTAAGGACGGAAAGATGAAATTAATCAACCGGACTGCAAGAGACGCGTTTCTGTTGATCACAGGGGCTATGGCGTAACTCAGCGGGGCTCGACCCTGAGGGGAGTGCAGCCTCACGCGCTGCCCTGCTGACTTTCAGGCGGCAGGGTTGTCGCCAAGGTGGTTGTCAATTCTAGATTTGAAGCTTTCGTGACTGCAAGGATCCATACTCTTTGGTTCTATTCGGTAAAGTCACGTAATTAAAAAATAAAACAACAAAAAATCACATTGATTTTTGTTGTTTTAGTGATTTTTGTTTATTTTTTACCTACGTGACTTTACCGAATAGAACCAAAGAGTAAGGTGGTTGTCGCCAAGGCTAGGGGAGCGGTGGCGCAGCAGTTGGCACGCTGCACGACAAAGCCTGCGGACCCGAGCTTCGCTTCCGGCTCGCAGCCAACACCAGCGACAATTACCTGAACTAGGCCTGGGCCTCCCCTAGATCAACTCAGCTTAAAATTCGTACCTGTGTAAATATCGATACTAGGAAGACAAAGGCTGCCGGGTTTGGTGCTGGCCACCCATCCCCTCGTGTTGAGCTTCCCAGAAATTTGGTGGCCTTACACGTGGATGCAATTCAACGCTTTGGAGGCAGGGTTGGTGGATGGTGCACAGATCTTAGGGCTTGTGGCGGTAGTCTCTACAAGGCAGTACTGCAGATAAAATAATAATTTGCTGACCTATTTGTGTGGATGATTTGAGTGTTCTTCCCTCGTGTGTGGGTTTTCTCTAGGTACAAATGACTCGACTAGCCAAAAGTGCCACGCATGATTCTCTTGAAAAAGAGACTTAAGTTGTTATGCGTAACTAGTTACTGTCGTTATTTTTTTTATTGCAGACATACCCATTTATTAATACTAAAGCAGAGAGGAGGCCGGGTAGTGTGGATGGGCGACCACCATGCATGAGAGGTTTTATCGGCTGGTGGACAGCAGAGGGCAGTGCAGCAGAATCCATTGTTGTACTGTACTTATATGCACCCACCTCTGTGCTTCCCAACTTTACCAACCCCGTACTGACCAAGGAGGTTAAGTGTGACCCAATAACCCCCACGACCAGCACGGCATGGGAAGGCCCTCATCCGGCATTGGTTTGACACGTGGACCGTACATTTCCAAAAGGTGCACTATTAAACACAACCGGGCCAATGGGATCCTCTTTCAAATAACAGTGAGTTATGATTGCAGTGAGGCACCCTCCTTGCCGTGCTCAGCATGGCTGTTTATTTATGCTGTTGGTGACAGGAGAAATGTCTGTCTCCTACCTAGGTCCGAATTTCCGCTGACTCTGCACCCATTTGGACTGGGAGTCGGGCTTGCAGCAGTCAAGGCTACCTCTGTAAAAAAAAAGATGGTCTGCTGGCCATAGAGTAACACGTAACCCAGATGTGAAATAGATTAGAGTGGGGATTTTTTTTAAGTTGAAGACGAAAAAAGTATTTATTTTGTCAGACCCGGTATCGCTGGCCAAACAGAAAAGTAAATCAGGTGCCTAAAAGGTGAATTCGCATACCGTTACCAATACAACGTTGTAGCCATTTGGCGGTCACATTTTATGTGTTAACTGCAATGATCTTAAAATGACATGTATACAGTATATACAGTGTAATGGATGTAAGATCAAAATGCCCAATGAGGCATGAAACAAATACTGTGCAAAAAAAATGTCAAATTATTACACGGCAGAGCTTAAATTTATACGTCCAAATGTCAGAATGTGAATTTTATGGACTAATCAGTGGCAAAGGAAAAACATAATCTACATATGTTAAAAATGAACTAAGTAAGAAAAAATAAATGTTCGAGTTTACTTTATATCAATGGAAAGAAAGCCTAATCATTTGTACATTTAGTTTTTTCAATCTGGAAATCAATTCTACGAGCTTGCATAATTGTGCAATTGCACAATTAACAAAGAAATTAGATTGCAATACATTTTACATCTGCAGTGTTACACCAGCGTTTTAAATAAAGCGAATCTTACTTGCTGAAAGGAGCAGATAAAATACCCTGAGACCTGAGTGTGCACTCAGAGGCTATCCAAGAGCTGCATGACCTCACAGTGTGCGTGCGCTTGTGTGTGAACCGGTCCTGGGCCTCCCCTAGGTCAACTCAGCCTCTAATGAGTACCCGGAGCGATGTATAAACATCGCTACAAGGGAGAAAAAGGCAGCTAGGCGTGGTGCTGGCCACCCACCCCCTTGTGTGCCAGACCGGCCTTTATAGGCACTGGCGGAGCCAGTGGGGGGGGGGGGGCACGTGCCCCCCTAATGATCCGATCTAAATCCCTAATTTCCACCGGATCATTGGGGTTTGTTAGTAATAAATCGGCATTTTGCGACCCCCACTGCCACTGTGTAGCATATTATTATGAGATGATAGGACAATAGTCTGAGTCCATAATTGGCAATAAGTAACGGCAAAGCAGTTATAAGTAACTCACAGAATTGTGCGAAGTTGCGTATACAGTACACGACTTCCCTGAAGGTGTTCACCTTCAGCGAGCGCGATGCCAATCACACAACGCGGTTCGAAATCGACCCTCGATCGATGGCTGCGCCATCGCCGCACACGCGTCGAATAAAAAGCAAGGGACAAGTCCTTACTAACAACTCCTCTATCATTTTTCATTGCTGGAGGGGTTGCCCCCCCTACCTGAAAATCCTGGCTCCGCCATTGTTTATAGGTGCTCGCTAACAGTACGTGCCCCAACAGCCTGTTGAGGCTATACGGGGAATCTTTGTATTGTCATATCAAAACCTTTTTTTAGACTGATCATGAAATCGCATGGCAGCTGCATAAATGTAACTGAAAAATTCCTCCAGTTATGGGTCACATTATGCAGAAAAATGTGCGGAGATGAATTACTTTCCGCTGCCCTGTGCCTCTCATAATGTGAAGAATGAAAGAAACTCGATTCGAAAGAAAATATAGCTTTTAAGAAAATTGCAGTTAAGTGGTGGAGGTTTTGCTGACCAAACAAACACAATGGGACTACCGGCATTACAATAACCAGGACCGGACCCAAAATGGCAACTTTAGGAAACGCAGTTACCTGAAAGAATTCTAAAGTCACGACAGCAATTTCAACGTAAAAGTGGTAAAGGCGCAGCCCCGCAATGTCCTGTTGAGCCACTGCTGGCGGAAGGGCCTCCGCTAGAGAGAGCTGTAGAGAGCTCCCTCGAGTAGGATGCCTCTAGAAATTATTTAGGCATACTCTTCTCTAAACTGGTAAAACATCTTAGAAGAAGCGGGGGAGGGGGGACCCGCACCTTTCCCCACTGCACGTGACCTCAATATCGGTAATATCACAGATTCGCTGACACTTCTCATTCCGTTGGCCAGGCGAGGATGGGTCTCAATTTTCTGGTACTACTCTGAGTTCTGTGCTACCACTGGTCACTAAATCTTCCGTTTATTTAGACGTGACTTGCGGCAGCTCCCGATTACATTTTTCTGCAGAACACTGACTCACTTTTCCAAACAATAAATCTTCACAGGCATTTCCACAAATAAAGATAACACACATAGACAAAGATGCCCCATTTTAGCCTTGTGAATCTGCCAATAGAAATGTTTTCGTTGCGCATTTCAAAAGGCAATGCAAGGCGGGTCATGGTAAACACCTTTGCTCCGCCACCTTTGTCACTAATTCCTGATATGGACACAATGAATCAGATATTTATATATATTTAGGCCGAGCCAACCTTGACGAGGCCCAAATATAATTTTCCACTGGTAGTGTGCATGCGTTATGACCACGAATTGTGCCCAGATCGCTGTGCTGCAGGTTGCTGATCAGACTACTACACCCACACACATACATACGGACATTCTCCCTTTTAACCTTAGAGACTGCAGGGGCAAATGGTCTTAGCGAGAATCAATTGTGGCCAGCATGGTGCACAACGGGATGTTGCATCCAGCGAAACGCCTGGCTGCATTTGTTTCCCCAGTGCTGATGTTTACGCACTGCGCTGGATACTCATTTCAGGCCGAGGTGACCTGAGTGAGGCCCAGGATAGATTGAGACGCCACTAGCCGACGATGTTATCTTTATCCGTGGCTGAAAATCGAGCTACAGACGAAGATAGCGCAGCGTGTGAGCAACTGTCCTACACGTGCAAAAATACAAAGATCCTCCATGCAGCCTTTAACATACTTTTGGGGCAAGTGCTCTCTGTGGGCATCTATGAAGGCTGGCATGGCACACAAAGGCATGGTGTGGCCACCACCACACTCGCTGCCTTTGTCTCCCCAGTGGTACACATGGTACCATGTACACATTTTATGCTTCGTCCATCTCGAGGAGGCACATAACAAGTTCACACAAATATTATCCTTGGCTGAGAATCGAGCCCAGGCCACTGGGTTCATGGCGCAGTGCGTGAAAAGCAGAAATGCACCCCACATGCACGCACGCACACGCACGTACACACACACACACCCACGCGCAATCAGCATGATTGGTAGAAACTCTGAATAAAACAATAGCCGGTTTAGTGAGAGAGGGCAGCAGCTGCGTAACCTAACGTTACCTTAAGTAACTCAAGTAAAACAAGAATCACAAAATTAATCACAGATTCGACCTACGCACCACAGAGTACATTCCGTTCCCCTTAGTGACCACACTTCTTCTGAATTGAGCCAAGGCGTGTCGTATCGCGAAACACACGCTACACAATCGTGAAATATGAATGTGAAGTTCATCCTTGTGCCGGGTTGGCACCGGGGAACTCGGTCGTAAGAACGCAGTGTTGTGGTGGGTCAACAATTAGCACTGCACAATTACCGTGGGATTATTGTGTTGTCGTGAGTTAACAATAGCCACTGGGAATTTACCAACAGAATACTGTGTTGTGGTGGGTCAACAATGATCTCCGGCCGTATGTCACCTTAAGCACAACGTTCTGATGGATCATCACAGCGTCCGTCGGCAATGTGTACGCACTCATCCTGAGAGCACCGCAGCACTTTGGTGGGTCAACATTGGCCACTGGGCACGCACCAAGAGACGTTTAGCTCTGCGGTGGCTCATCGCTGCTAGGGGGGGTCGACTACTAGCCCAGTGGGCAAGTACGACGACGATAGCAGATCCTTGTGGTCATCTCAACACCTCGGAGACCAGGGCGTGTACAACGGCAGCACAGAGTTCTCGGTGGGGGTCAGCACCGGCCACATACCGTGAGCGCATGCACAGCAAAGCCCAGGCCCAGCTGACGACAGGCCACCATGGCCTCCAGCGTCGTCCACCCGTCGCCGCAAACTGTGCCCCACCTTTTGGATCGCCTCACCTCGAGCCGGCCCTCCCACTCGTTGCGTCCGCCCGTTAAGCGGATCTGCGAGGAGCGAGCGACAGAGCGGCGGCAGAGAGAGGGAGAGCGTGGAGGGGGGGGGCGGGGGGGGGGGGGGCAGCGGGGGAATGGGGGGGGGGCAGCCGCGTGCGTTCATCCAACGGCGTTCATGCGACAGGGCAGCAGTCAGAAGTGGGCCTCTCGCTCACCAGAGAGGCGTTTTCGTCTCCGTCAGAAAGGCACATAGACACCTTGAAAGACTTTTCCATTTACCTCGTTTGGGGTTTTTGCGGTTGGGCTGTAGAGCTCTCCCAAAGGGTTTTTGGGTTGAATCGCGGTGCTGTCTGACGTTTCGCTCCACGTGCTGGGAGCTTCCTCAGGAATTCTGGGGAACTGAATTCGGTTCCTGAAGAAGCTCCCAGCACGTGGAGCAAGACGTCGGGCATCATGCCGAACAATACGTAGTTCAAGCCAAAAAACATTGGAAATTGCCAATTATCGCTATTCACACGGCTGTTGTATTTTCTTGCGCTCTCTTGAGACATATTTTGATGTGTATGGGTACACATATATGAGAAATAAAAAGTAAATTTTTCGTAACCGAAGCCATAACACAGGCTTGGGATGTTTGGCCAATTCCTTCTTGAGCATTTTTAGTGCATACGCTATAAACACTGTGTACACAGTATTTTGTTAAGCTTGTATATTTAATGAAGTTTCATATATTTTATTTAGACAAGGATATATATTTTAATAATGCTATAAGTATATGACAGCCGTTATTATTTTATAGTTATTATCCGACTACCGCTGAGCGCGTGTCACTGTGATCGTCGTTGAAACGATGACAAAAGCGAATGTCGTTGTTGGCCGAAATTAACAAGTCAATGGGTAAAAAAAAGTCTTTCACACCCAAAGTGGCGGTGTCCATTTACCTTTCAGGCAGAGCCCCCTGGACTATGCGGAGAAGCAAAAAAGGGAATGACTGAGATAGCTCCATGCTGCTGAAATCTCTGCATTATGCTGCAGGCAAAAGACAGAAACCACCGAGCTCAAGCGCCCGGCACCCGCCTGAGTGATTTGAAATCCCAAGCCGAATCCTGGACAAGAGAGCAGAGTGATAGCTGAAATAATGGATGGCACGCGTTCCACTTTCATGGAGATGCTGCGGCTGCTTCAGCCAAAGCGACGGGCTGATGCCTTCCCCTCGCTTAACGCGACGAAGCCACAAAGCCGAGCTCGCTCCTGCAAGAGAAGACCCCCATCCCAAAGCGCAGCCGTGGAACCTGCGGAGTGAAGGAAAAAAGGCGGCGGCGGACCGGCGGTTTGCGGGCGGCGCTTTAATCTCGCGGTCGCCGTCGATCCCATCGGCACGACCATCGCGACAACTTCCCTTGCACTACCCGTGGAGTTCACATCCACTCTTTTTGTTTTCAACGATCGGATGAACCTCCGCGGGTACATACTTCCATAGCCTGGGCTGCGAAACCCAGGCCGAGCTGCCGACACACCACCGTGGCCTCCAGGGTCCTCCAGTCCTCGCTGCAGATGTATCCCCACTTGTGCTTCCCATTGCCCTTATCCACTAGCACCTCCACCCTGCCCTCACGCTCGTTGCGCCCGCCCGTCAGGCGGATCTGTGCCATTAGCAGTGAATACGGGAACAGGGGGACAGGCACAGGGGTGAGCGTTCGCCCGCTTGCTCGCCTGCTCGCTCGCTCTCTCGAACGGAACAACAGCCACAGGGGTGAGCGTTCGCCCGCTCGCTCGCCTGCTCGCTCGCTCTCTCGAACGGAACAACAGCCACAGGGGTGAGCGTTCGCCCGCTCGCTCGCTCGCCCGCCCGCTCGCTCGCTCTCTCGAACGTAACAAATGGACGAATGGGCGAGTGAGTGAACATCGCAAGGGATGGGGTCGTGTCCGGTCATCCACAGGTCACGTGTGGGTCACACGGCGTGGCAGCTTGACACCTGCGTGTTTACGAATGCTTCTGTGAATGCACAAACACGCAAACGGTGCACTACTTTATATGAACACACACACACACATGGTGCAGATAAACAAGACGGACACTGATACACACAAGGTGCGGGTGTACGGAAATAATATGAAGAGCGCAGTACTTAAATTTATCCACACAGGCACGCAAGCCTAGACACAAATTACGAATATAGGGTGTCCAAAACCATGCAAATATAGTCCTTAAATGTATACAAACACACACACACACAAAAACACACGTAACAAATTACATTTGTGTACAAATGTGCATAACGTTTTGATACATGGTGCACACACAACACAAAACACACGTGCATTCATACATTTCAGGAACAGATGAGAATGGAAAAAAGATCACCGTTAATGCATTTACAACATTCTTGCATCAAACACATTTTGAACTGTAAAGGAAGCAGTGTTATTTAAACAATAAAAAAAATGTGATTTTTTTTTACAACAAATCCAGCAAAATCATAAAGCATTCAGATTTGAACAGGGCTAAACTCAGCGCAGAGGTAATTCACTCGGAAAAGCAAACGCATAAAAAGCATAGAAGCCATCGTTATTTTATAATGTGTAAATTGTTAAAGCGTTCAACGATAAAACGCAAAACCTTACCTTCTCACTTTCAATTGCAGCGCGAGGCAAGAGAGAAACGACACATTTGCAATTGATCAATTGAGCATGAGCATTTGACAACAGTTGGCAAAAAAACCCCAATCATCCCAGCAGTCTGTCGGTGCACACGTTAATACCTGCAATATTAGCCGCTGACGCTCTCTGCACTCTGGACTGGCTTGCCACTGCCCTGCAGTGTCGATGTCGCTTGCAAACCTCACCCGCGGTGTCACCAAGATAGGCAAGTGAATTTCTCGGGTCGTGCCCCAGTGTGGCAGCGTTCAGATTGCCGGGCAACGGGTTCGGGGCGGCGACAAAAGTAATGCGTCGTAAGTCTTTAAACTTTTATCTTGAACTCGGCGCCCCTGAGATTAAAGGGAAATATATGGGGGGGGGGTAAAGTTAGACTGTGCTTGGACCTGGTTGGCGCTACTTAGCGGACACAATTCAAATGTGCTGAGCCACATTTTGTTTTTACAACTTTCCAGTTAAAAAAACAATGCATATCAGTTTCTTCGCATGCCCGGTGCATGAATGTGGAGCTCCACTTTGGGACATTCAAAGTGTGCAATGTAATGCAGCATGTGTTTTTTGTAGGAATCTTGATCACATGGTTGTAAATCAGTAACTTTTTCGCCTTTGTTGGGAATTAAAATTTTGGAGGTTTCTTGTCCCTGACACTGTAATACATTTTCATATTTAACCTTAATGACTGCCGTTTATACTCCATATTTTTGGGATATTTATTTATATGCACACACGAGTGTCATGCAGAGTGCAACCTAGCAAGGCCCTCTTCAGGGACAGAAGTAACTGACGGGTGTACCTCCCCAAAGGCATTTGAAAATCATTTTCGGCTCTCTGTCCGGTCCTGTCCATAACAGCCATCACCCATCCTTCCTGTCTTGCTTCTGTCTGCCACCCACCCTCATCTCTAGCTGCCACCCACCCACCCTCCCATCTAGCTGCCACTCACCCTCTCATCTAGCTGCCACCCACCTTCATCTCTAGCTGCCACCCACCCTCCCATCTAGCTGCCACCCATCCTCTCATCTTGCTGCCACCCACCTTCATCTCTAGCTGCCACCCACCCTCCCATCTAGCTGCCACCCACCCGTGTCTAGCGTCTAAATGCCACCCGCTCTCACATCTAGCTGCCACCCACCCTCGCTCCGAGCTGCCACCCTCGTCTGCATTTGCCACCCACCCGTGTCTCGAAGCCCATGGCCGGCACGTGGCAGCGCACCGCCGCGTCCTCGCGGTGGCTGCACGAGTTGCCCCCGACCTCGCTGAACTTGCAGTCAGTGAGGGACTTCTCCGCGCCCTTGCACGCCACCTGCGTCATGTGCACCGGGCCCGTGCCTGGTGAGCAGCAGGTGGTGATGGGGCGCGGCAGGGAGACGGGGTGCGGTGGTGAGCGGGCGATGGAGGGCACACGGAACCGCCGCGTGGTGTTCCAGTGCGTGTGCTTGGTTCGCTCGTATTTTGTTAGTCACAGGTAATATGGCGGCAGATTACAAGCAAAAGAGTCTGACCGCTTTGCAGCTCCCGAGGTCACTTATGCTTGGCAAGAGGATACTGACCAGACAGCCCGTGCGTGCCTGCTTCCAGTAGCAGGGTACGAAGGTTCCACAAAATCACTCTCTGTTGTAATGCTGCTGGAAAGCCGAATCTTGTAACGAATCAACTGAGAATAAGGTAGCATGTCGTGCGAAAAGAAAGTTAACTTCATAAGCGTGTTCTCTCCACAATGCCTTTAACACTAATTGTCTGCAATGTCCTCTTAACTCGGAGGTTACCGAAAGTTGTGTTGGGTTCTCCTGTGTTTGTTATTGTTTTTGGCAGCGCATTCCTGCGTTGAAGTTTCCTGCGCCACATTTGCAGCAAAGCGAATGCCATCTCGCTCAGCCCGCGACCTCTCCAGGCACCAGCACCTATCGACCTGCGTTGTAGGAGACGCCGCGGCCTTTTAAGACGCCGTGCATTCTGGTTGAACGTGGACTCTCTCGTGCATTTTTTGGAGGTCACTGAGTTTCTAGTCCTTAACTCCGAGTTCATTCGCAATGATCCATCCGTATTGTATTACAAACCTCACAGGAATCCGTGTCATAACAACCAGCACTGCGTGTACGCGCCATGTGATTTTACAGTGGCCAATAACCCATGCATTTGAAATTATGTGTACATGAACAGCCCTTTTGTCAATCAGATGATGGATGAAGGCGTTCCCATGCTGTGCGGTCATGGGCGAAATGTAACCATACTTCACCATCCTGGTCAGTGCGGGTTGGTGAAGCAGGTTTCCAATACTGGTCCAGATGATAACACTCACCACTAATATTAGCCATGGCCGGGAATCTTACTCGGGTTGCCAGGTGCATAGCACAGTGTGCTTTCTACTGCGCCACCTCTGCCCCTCCCCACAATCATCACTGCATAGATGCAATGTGAAAACAGACGCCAATAAAACAGGCTTCTGTCATTGAGACAGTGGTGGATGCGTTAGCCAAGAAAGGACTTTTCTCGGTAGGGCACCGCGATATTTAAGTAGTTGTTGTAGCAGTGCGGGTTAATTGAGTTCGTCTGTGCCCCCTGCCGATGCCGTTATTGCCCTCCCGAGGGCTCAGAGTCTGCCACTGCCAAATTCCTGGGTTCTTTCAAGGCTGTCGCTGGGGCGTGATAAGCAGCTGCTCTCACGCCCCACTCGCCCGCTCCCTTGCCCCCCTAAGGGATGCCGCAGCCCCCCGTCCGGCCGGGTCTGAGTCACGGTTGGCGGATGTGCGGCGGTGGCTGCAGCGTGGAGCGCGATCGGCAAACGAATCCAGACCGACCAATGGCGCGCGTGCCCTAACGGGCTCTCGTACTGTTTTTCATGAGCCGGTGGAAATTCCACATTCCTACGGTTAAGGGTCAGTTTATCCGTAAGGTAACCTCGATTGGCCAAATCGCCCGAAATGCAGCAGATCTCGGAAGCCTAGCGGGGTTGAGTCTGTGTTACCACATCTACTCTTTTCACCCTCACCAGCCTGGTAAATTATGCTAAAATAACGCGAACAATCCACATGGAATGGGAAGGAATCCCCGCATCCAGCAGTGGATAGCCAGAAGAGCTGCACGTTGTGTGTTGTACCATAACCTCGGACGACTTCCCAGCGGGTGGATGCTCAGCAGGCAGTGATCATTTTTACAACACCGGAGCGATGCGAGGTTAAAAAAGTTGACCGTGGCCGGGATTTGAACTCAAGACCTCGTGATCACGAGCCGAGCATTCTACCGGGTGAGCTGCGCTTAAGATAAATGACCGAATTGTAAAATTGTGACTTTATGCCACCTATGTGTTGCATGCTTTAGGCAGTTGCCTCACCACCAGTATGGCAGCTGACAAAGGCACTCTCCCTGTTCAGTGTGAAGGATTGCATCTTCTGATGTAGCAGGTGGTCAAGGAATGGGACACAGATGGTTCATGAATATGTGAATGTCCTCTTAAATTTACACTTAACTCGCGAAGGTACTTTCTCATCCCTGCCTTCATCCTTTCTGAAAAGTGAATTTGATAAATGTTAAGAATGTTGACCCTCGATGGGAGAGCGTTTGAAATTGGTTCTCTGCAAAATTCAGTCCAGGCATTCCACAATGTGCACAATTCCCTTTAAAGGCAGGTTTTGCTCCCTCTATACGAGAGTAACTGCCACAGTACCAGCAGAAAAATGCATTGAGTTTCACATTTAAGTCAGAAAAACCTTGTGTTTATTTATTGAGTTGACAAATTGATACACGTGCTGGGTTACCAGATGCTATTGTAAAAATCCTCCATGCTACTCATGAGATCAGACGTCAAATCCGCTCCAGAGTTTTCTTGTTTAAACATATGCTCCTGGATAATGTTGGTCTGCAAGGTCCACGGACTGATAGAGATCAATATAACTCAATGAATACATTTTATTAGCCATAATATTCCACGACGGTGCGTACTCGGTTTTTATACTTTGCTCATATTTGATTGAAACTCGGAGTTTACGGTGCGTGCGATGACCGACAACCAGAGGATTGGGATTGATTGCAGTGCAGAAGTGGCACAGTGGTAGGGGCACTGAGCATGATTCCCGAGTTCGATTCCCGAGTTCGATTCCCAGATGAACGTTTAAAGACGAGTGCTCTCTGAACTGATCTTAGGCCCGCTTTACCAACCCGCATTGACCGGCGTGGTGAAGTACGGTTGGTTTAAACAACCACCGTGATCAACACGGCCTGTGGAGGCCTTCATCCAGCAGTAGATTGACAAAGGTCTGTACGTGATTTTATTTGACTTATTCAATAATGCCGGAGGTATCGGTGGCGCCGTGGATATCGCACTGCATTACAAGCCTGTCAATCACAACATAGCGTCATGAGTTTTTGTTATGCGGCGCTAACGTTTTCATCGCTCAGCCTCGACAATGTCCTGACGATGCCGATGATCACGCGGGAATAATCACAACCTGCCATCTGCAATGCGATGTGAGTCCGCCCTGTCCCTCTTTCGGACAAGTAAACTAAGTAAAAACTTTCATTTCATTTTACCCGGTACGGCCCACTGAGCTGTATAGCTCTTTTTCAGAAGCGACATGGCCACAAATGAGAGCTCAACGAAGTGGCTTGTCGCGTGTAAATTTATAGCGGCCGAATACTCTGCACGCACGTTTATAAATACCTCGCCGCCAACACCCCCCCCCCCCACCACCACCACCACCTTCCGCCCCCCACTCCCCCCAGCCCCGGCATCATCACCTTGTCCGAAGCGCGCGCCGGGCACTGCCTCCTGTGCGGCTCCGAATCCCAGCTCGCGGCACACGACGCTCGAAGCCACCAGGTTCCAGCGCTCGTCGCACACCGTGCCCCACTCGCCGTTCTTGAGCACCTCCACGCGGCCCTCGCCCATCTGCGCGCCGCCCTTCAGCCTCACGAGCGGTTGCTGCGGGAGAGCGCGGTCGCGTGAGACGTTCGTGTGTATGTATGTGGAGCTTCTTTCGCCACCGTACGTAGCCGATCGTGCTAGTCGGAGGTGCAGGGGGAAGGACAACAAACTAAGCACAAAAATCAGTTCTCAAAGAAAATGAGTTTTCAATCCGGGTGATTTTAAAGTGCATAGCTCCAGTGGCTTCCTAACATCGGAATGAAGAGCGTTCCAGACGGCCGCAGAAGCGCGTCTGAAAGCGCGCGATGCGGTAACCGTCTTTGTTCGAGGTCCAGCTAAAAGCCGCTGCGAGGATGACCGGAGTATGCGCAATGGAACAGATGGAACAGGTGGAACAGCAGGTTTTTGCAGTCGGTGGCAAAACGTGCTTGGTATAGGCCCTGGTGCGAAGAATGCAATGGGCTCCTGTCGAGTTCCCCCCCTCCCCTCCCCCTCTTTATAGCCCGAAGTCTTGGCCCCTTCCAATAGTGGGCCCTGGTGCAGCTGCACCACCTTCACACTTCATAGCCGTGCAACTGATTGTATTGAGGATGTGTTGAGGCAGATGGGGCTATGCCGAAAGGCCAAATCAGAGTGTCTCTTCGCAATCCAGTACACACGCATGGATGATATAAAACTTTTCCACATGTGTGTCTCTACTGAAGAATGTAATTATCAGTATGGAAGCTGACTGGTAGCTGTCACGGCAAAACGCTTCCACATATTTGCAAATAATCCTGTTAGTTCTGGATTGCGGCTTAGAGTTTGGGCGAGGTTAAACTCCCAAGAACAACACAATACTAGAGTTGTGCTCATATTCGACCATCTTTACAAGAGCAATAGTAGACAGACGGAGAGAGCTAAGGCATAAGCACTTTCAACCTTAGCTGAAAAGCATGAATAATGTATAACTCTGACACCTGTGCTCCGATGACTTGGGTGGTCAGGTCAAGTCACGTTCATTTAGTTTCAACCAGAGGTGGGAACTTGAGAGTCAAAAGGGATAAGTCTCATTCACGAGAGAGAGAGAGCGAGAGAGTGACCTAGGTGGTGGTGGTGGCAGTGAAGGCCCTCACCTCGCTGCGGTAGGCCTTCCTGAAGCCCGAGTTGTGGCTGTGCGCGTATCCGGGTCCCGGCACACAGCTGACGACGGCGGGGCCTCCGTCCCGGCAGCCCGTCACGTTGTTCCGCGCCGGCACCGTGCGGAAGCGGCACGTGGCCAGGTGCACCTCGTTCCCCGTGCAGTTCACGTCCCGCATCCAGTAGCCGTGCGTCCTCTTCTTCAGGTGTGCTCTGCCAGCAGCGATTCACAGTACGGGGAGGTTCACTGACATGTACGCAAACGGCTGGGACATGGTTCCGTACCCGTACGGTGCGTCAAAAGATTGTGAGAGTGGAGCGTTCTAGGAGATTGTTTTTTTGTGTCTTTTTCTTTCGTTCAAGTCGAGGCGAAGTGACCTCTATGCTCTAATGAATGTGGTGAATTTCGGAGCACAGGGTCGGTTCAGATGTCCGGTTAGCACCGTTGGCTACGTACGGTGCGAAATAAGTTCAACACAGGACATGTCGTTTGCCACTGATGTTAGCCCTGGCCAGGAATTAAACACTCAAGTTAGCCTGGTTGATAGCACACTGCACCAACCTCTGCGTCACCGCTCCACACATACATTTTTCTATATATTTCATAGAATCTTAATTAAGGTTAAATTCTAAGAAGTGCTACCTTCAACATCTCTCCAGTATTAAGTAACAGCCTTTGCAGCTGGACAGATTCGGTGAGACAAGCAACTGGTTTTGCTCCTTGGACCAAAAGTAATTTTTGGCACGGAGGTTGGGAAGCCCCTTGTAGAGGTTCCACACCTGTCTGCCTCGCTTGGATTATTACAGCCATCGCTCAGGTGCCATCTGTTTTATTTCTTGTGCTTAAAAAAATAAAACCCGTTGGCGAATGGTACCAGATTCACAAGGGACCCACAACTGCTTTCCTAAATGAATAAAAGTTGACAGTGAATGCAGAGTGAGCGAACCCGTTTCCACTTAAGACACGATGTGCCGTTGACCCAGGGAGCACTTGGCTTGAAAAACAGGATCTTGTATCCTCATTCTGCAGCCGAAGTATTTTTTTGTTTTACATTTGCAGTGGTTCGGTATAATAAGTAAATAATTATATCAATAATGCTTTCGTGTTATGTTGCATCGTTAGTTGCAAAATTGAATCTCGAAAATCGTCGAGGAACTGCAAACAGGCAGGAAGGCAATAGCCAGGCGATGAGCCGACGTCGCCAATTGCCCAAGCTCTGCAGTCCTTTATATTTTGGAATGTTTTCAACCACTTAATGAGTGTTTATACGCATGGGAGGAAACCGCAGCACCCGGAGAAAACCCACGTGTGTGAGGGAGCAACACTCTATCCCATTAAGATGGGACAGATGATATTATTCCGCACTTTGTCAACCCGTGTTCTCCTGGAAAGCCAGGGGTATGGCAGCCCGATTCCCACGTGAAGGAAGTGTCACAACATTCGTGTGATCCACCGACCCTCGCCTCCACGATATCGGATTACGGTCATACGCCGCCAATGCTGCGAATGATTAAAGTGATACGTAATGTGGCCCTATGGGGTTGAGTGGTGATTGATGCACTGCATTATAAACCTGCTTAAATTAGTTTTATTCCAGGCCAAGGATAACATCAGTGACGAGTGGCATCTAAACCGGTTCTGGAAGTCCCCTACAGCAACCCACGCTGACCAGTCTGGTGAAGTATGGTCAAATAACTCCGATGGCTAATGTGATGTTCGGGAGGCCTGCATATATTAATTGGCGAGATGTATAATATTATTGTATTATTTATAGTGCGGTACAGCATTGCATATCCAACTGTCTGGGATGTGGGGTTTAGGCGGATATGTGAAAAGGTCAGATATCTAGAAAATGACAGTTACACATTGCGCAAATACTGCACTGGGTGTGAGCAGTTAATTGATGAAGGAGGATATGTGACGTTCGGAGATGCTACGTACTGTTTAATAGTTTGATTACTAAACCTCTGTGCACCAGGACACCCACTGACCACGTGGTATTCTCCGTCCATTTGCAGGAGTACGCAATGTCACGTTTTTTTTTGTTTTTGGCCATATCTTTGTTTATTGTAGTACGGAGTTAGACTGATGGCCTTAATCTTAGTTGTCTTGTGGTTGTTGTTGTTATTTGACTTGCATCCCACTGGGATTTTTGCACACAGCGTTGGTGTACCGTGCTATTTCAGGAATATTTTCATGTTTTTTTTCCTGGATTTTCTGTTTGCACAGTCACATAATCACTTTAAGATGTTTTCTTGTTCATGTTTTTGTTTGTTGAGGTTGCACCCAATTCAAGAGCCGAATGGCTCACAGGGCTATACCAAATAAATGAACTATGAAACTATGAAATAATTAAGAAAAAATTAAAGCCAACTTTTCGTTTATGGCGCAAGAATTTCAAGCGGTGGGTGCGGCGAATGCCACTCATGAAAATCACGCTCACGAGTTTGAATTGATCCTTCAGTACGTACCGGTCACACCTAGGCTGAGTTTAAAAAAAGGGGGCTCTCTTTAATTTTTAAGGTTGGCCTCAAAACGTTGGCGCTGATATGAATACGACCTAAACGACACGACTCTCAAGTGTGTAAAGCACACCGGCCGTGGAGTGCTTGCTCACACGGTTCATTCAAACTCGTGGAAAAAAAAAACCGAACTAGAAGGGCAGTGCACAGTCGTCACCGTCATGTGCCACATCCCACATTCTCGTGAGCTCTGCTCGCCTGCATGTGGGGCTTTGTTTGCGTCCGTGGAAACGTGCGCGCCGGTTACGCACGAGGGCGTCGTAATTCGTGCACCGCCTTTTTTCCCCCTCTCAATTTGTCTCGCCTTGATAACTGGAGCCATGCTTCGTGTACAATAGGGTCATTTGGTTAACAGCTAAGGTTGCAGTGCAGTGACTGAAGGCGGCCGATGTGTAACGTTGGATGTTGGGAGGGCTTTCATTGGGAAAAGCCCGTTTAACCCTGTCTGACAAAGTGTCTGTTGCCAGCTCTCACCCCACATAATTGGACGAATTACCTTAAATCAGGGGTAGGCAACCTGTGGCTATTTAAGGACTGCTTCGTGACGTTATTTATTCAGGACTGCTGCCTCGTATTCACGTGCATTGCGGCTCTTGAAATATTGAGTTTTATTTTTGTTGACCAAATTTGGACCAAAATGGCCCTTCTTGTTATTTTGGTTGCTGACCCCTGCCCCAAATACGCCTGCTCTCATCGGATATTGGAAGCTAAGCAAAGTTGGGCCTGGTTTGTTCTTGGATGGGAGACTGTCTGGGAATACCGGGGTGTTGTAGGCTTGGGCTGCAAGGTGGCCCGAAGTTAGCAGTGCAATATTAAATCTCTCTGTGCTGAGCTTTGAATGGTGTCCCCTTGCAAGTGTAGGTTTTCTCCGGGTACTCCCACAAGCCAAAGACTCATTCGTAGAAATAACCAAATATCCCAATGCAGGATCCCCCTGAAAAATATTCTCTGGGTAAAAAAATGGAAACTATAGCAGGAGCTGGATATAAGCACACAGTTCTGATATAGGCCACACATGCTTATGCTACAATGGTGGGGGGAAGACACAGAGAGCATATTCTGATACTTGCACACATTTCGATATAATCACCAGATGGTCTCGTTCCCAAGGGTTGTGTTTATGTCCAGTGTCGATTGTATTTATATTATCAGACTCAATTCTTATAAACGCAATCTTCCGTTAACCAAATATGTCGAATACCAGACTAACTAAACTACGCTCTGATTGAATTAAATGTTGCTATGTGGCTATATAAAGTTGATAAACATTCGACTAAAATATAAATACTCTGGCGTACGTGTGTGAAGAGCAAACCTTGCTACAACCGCCGTAATGGCACTAGACTTTGGGAACGTTTGCAACGCTGCGGATTCAAGAACACTTGAAACCAAAAAAATCCCCTAAATTCTTATCCCGATTGTGCTGTCAGCATCACACCACAAGACACAGCATCCACTGTGGTCTCTCGCAGAGCACGTGTGGCCCTTTGTGCTGGAGAACGGTCTACAGAAGCGGATGTCGCAAAGCGACCTCTTCAACATCCCTTTAAGCGACCTCTGGTCCGCACACGGTAGAGGGCAGAATTCGCTCGTAAAATTTCAACAAAGCCCTCCCCCCTCCCCACATAATCGTAGTCGAACCGGTGCAGACAAGGTCACGAAATCAGCCTCAAGAATGTTTCCTGCCCCTCTGTGGAGAATTCATGCCGACACAGTTACACTATTTATATTGGAGGGAAATGTTAAACCGGAAAATTGTGAAGAGATTCGTAATAGTCTCAGGTTATGGACACCGAAAATATAAGGACACAATAAATGTGTCACGTTTTGAGTTGTGGCGTGTGGACATTGACATGGCTTTTTATTAAATATTTCGGTTGTTGGGTTTGTTGGTGGTAACAGCCACAGATTTTATGGCATTTTGCCCACAGAATTGGACATGTTTTGCATGATTCATTCAAAAGGAACATTGGAGAATGGAAAATAGTTGAAGACAGCATTCACGACTGCCCACAATTCTTTCCATATCCATCGTCACTGTCTCATTGTCTGCTGTTGCTAAAAGTTTACGACGCGGATTTCGAGATATGTATTTATTTATTCATTCATTTGCGAGCGAGGTTGCTTTTTATCGTGCCCCAAAACGGAAACCAGAAGGAATTTTACAAAGGATTTCCCTTTTGTGAGTCGTGCCACTGGAGCCATATCTTCGTGTTTGGCAATGCCAAGAATGGTCAGTACGGTGGCCTTGTTTAACAACAAGCAAAGAGGCACACGATTATTTAAGCAGCCGTGGCACAGTGGTTTGTGCCATGGGCTATGAGCCCCTCCTCCCGAGCTGAATGCGACTCCCGGTCGTGGCTAACATCAGTGGCGAGCGATATATATCTGAACTGGACCTGGGCCACCCCCACCGCCCACCCGATAGGGTACTTGAACGTGGTGAAGTATGGTCCAACAACCTAAGCCACCAAAACAGTGTGGGATGGCCTTCGACCAGAAATTGATGTACAAAGAGATGAAAACAGCTGAAAGCACGTGGGGCCTGAATATATTTTAAATTTGTTATGGGCAGTAATACATGAGAGGCACTGCAATTCGTTTTTAAACGTGTTCCACTTGTATTTCGTTAAGATGGTTCAGAGATTATATATTCATACAAATGTTTAAATGTCCGTTCGACTAACAAG